TGTAGCTCAAGAAGCTAGCTCTAGCTCTACTAGTAGCTCTAGTAGCGGCTCTGGCTCAAGCTCTAGTTCTAGCTCTGGCTCTAGYTCTAGTAGCTGTAGCTGTAGCTGTAACTCCATGGAAGGGGGTGGATGCTTCATCTCGAAGACACTAGTACAAAGAGGCGACTTTAGTTGATTCAAAACCTAAATCAACAKGGTGTTCTTCAGCATGAGTGTGCTCAAACAATTCCAACAATTCATAATGGTGCAGCCAACCCTTAGTATGATACGGTTTCACATTGTCGTTAATCCTTTGATTCACATAGGGTTTTTTAGATTCTTGAATTTCTTGAGGAAATTCAAGTCCAGCCGGCAAGGTAAAATTCACATAAGCAAAAGGAAGCAGGATGCAAGATTGAGGATGAAAAACTTGGAATTCCAGATGCCACTTGTAATCCCTTGGGATCAATGTTGATTTTGGTTTCGGAAGTCAAGSAGAACAGAGAAGACAAAGACTATTCTTGGGATGCTCGCCCAGTAAGGATTTGTAAACAGTGTCAAGACGTACACCAAAGTCAAGTGCAGGCTTAAGGTCTTTGACTTGTTTAAGCTTTTTATCCTTTACAAGCAAACATGAAGAAATCTTAGGTTTGGATGAATTCATTGTTGCAGTGCTGTACTAACAAACAAATATGACGAGAATGRCAGTGAGGAAGAATGGATGACCAGCAGTGATGTGTTGTTGTAAATTGTGAAATACTGCTTGTTTGTAAAACAGCGGCGAGAACACGATTGTTTTGGTTGGATTTCAAATAGTGAATGTGTGAATGGTTTCAATACGCAAACAAGACGCAATGTCGTHGTTTGAAATCTAATCATGATGAATACAATGGCGACACCACGGTAGAGAGAAGGGGCTGGCACCATGGACTAGTCAGATTTTGGTGAAAGCATAGGGATACGGTTCAAGGCGTTTTTTTAATCGTGAACAATTTCTGGCTCAACAACGGTGAACATAACAGTGGTGKGACTCAGGGTTGCTTCTACCTCGGAACAGAAATAAAACTGGTTTTCCATAACAACCCAACGCAACCCTCGCAACTAAGTTTATGTTTGAACGCGACCAAAACCATGCTATGCGTGAGGTTTAGTGGGCGCGTGAAAAAAAAAATGGGTGTGTATTTAAAAAAAAAAGGTTGCGAGCGGTCGCTACTGCTTGCGAACACTTTTTGTGACGTACATGTAGTAGAATCAGTACTGGAGGGTAGTAGAAATAAGCATGTGCATGAATAAAAATTATTTTTGCACATGAAAATTAGTACACTTCTATGTCGCAACGTATTAACACAGGAAACAAATTATTGACAATAGTATGGTGCACATCTGAACATTATATATATGCACGATAAGAGTATCATGATAAAGCTCTCACTCTTAGCTTTCTATAGCTGCACTTGGGGTCATTAAATGCCAGCTTTAAGCCAAATGACAATGAAATCAAATTTTATGCCAAAACAGGGCCTCTTTGAATAGCTATAAAGAGTGCACCAATGCTATAAAACTGTTGCAATTACTACAAGTGTACTATACCACTGAAATAGATCCCATAAGTTCAAAAAGAAGCATTCCAATTGCCCAAATATTGAGCTTATTCAAACTGTAGAGGTGCAAACCAGACACCTGTTCCCAGATGGAGGAAGTACTACTAGTAAGAACTATCGTTTAGTGCTTCGCAAGTTACAATTCACAGTACGAGTGCTGCACACCATTCAGTACCATACCAGCACCTACATTTTGCAACCCATATTTTTATTGGGTACAGGATCCTAGTAGTAGGGTAATTCTACACACAATCACCTAACGGTCAGTATGTACAATGACCCCACTCCATTTGCACACATATTAAAATTCCTACATATTTTGTAGTAGTGAGGAATGCAATTACCCAAGACAAATCCTGCTTGGACCCATGGATTCACAGATCTTGTGTGGTACTTGGTCTTGCTCTATTTCTGGAGAAATGGTGTTGATCAGGCAGCACTGGAGCATCTACTAGCCAGTGGTTGTTTGTTGAAGGCGTTACTAGTGATAGGAGATCAACTGTTGCTGCTAGTATGGTGGACAAAGAATTCTAATTTTATGAAGCCCTATGCCTTTAATAATGAGGTCTTTGTTGCTGGAAGACCATCTTCAGAAGGCAAGCTGGACATGACTCACTCCATTTGGAAGATGAGCACAGCCTATGCAAGACAGTGTGGTTGTTCAAGGGATAAGAATGTTGATTATACTAGAGCAAGATGGAAGTCTTGTAGGCAACAGGATTGCTATACTGATACACAGCTTGCTTGGCCTGATATTAATGTTGCATCAAGGCTTTTCTTTGGAGGTGTCTATTACTACAAACCAGTGGAGGGGACTGGAGTAACAGACCAGTGGATCATCTCCACAGTAACACCAGCAATTGCTAATGTCTTTGGGGATCAAGTAGCAGCAATCCTTGGCAAGGCATTGCTTTGGGCTTGCTGTGAGCCTGCAATGGAATCCAGTGGCTTGTTGCTGGATGATATAAAGAAGAGAGATGTTGTTGCTTCTTGTTGTGTCCAGCTTAGCTTCCAGCAAGAAAATAGAAGGATGGATGATGATAATATCAAGCCTATTGAAAGAGTGAAGATCACTGCTAATGAAATAGGGGACCAAGTGCACTTTGATGAGTTATCTGACCCTGGTGGGAATGCTGCTGGTGGTGKAGATGTTGGCACCAGTGGCTTTGGTATTAGAAGGACTCAGTTGCAATGGAATGCTGCAATGTTCTCCAAGCTCTTCTCTACTACCAATGAAATTAATGATATTAAGAACAGCAGAAAAATAGCTGTTGAAGCTAAGTTCAACCAGAAGCTTAACCAGGAAATTTTGTTTTCTCAAAGAGCTGCTATGACTCCTGCTGTTTGTTGTCAGCCAGCATCAAGGACAGCAACAGGCACAGCAGCATCAACTGGAACTGATGAGGGTGTAGTAGAACTCACCAAGTGCCCTAGAGATCTTTTTGTTCTTTGGAATGAATGGGAAGTGGATGTTGGTCCTCTCAATAAGCCTGCTAAGGATCTCACTGCTGCCGAGAGAGGTTGTGTGAAAAGCAAGTACTGCAGGAGGAAAAAGTTCTGGAACTGTGTGGAAAGACTCATTAGCCATGGTTCTACCTCTGATCCAGCAATTTTTAGGATCTATGGCGTGTGCATTCTTGGACCAGGGAAGAGGGTATCATTCATCCTCAGGGCTATGGTATCTCATACTAAAGCTTGTGGGCTTGAGGACACAGCCAACAAGTAGTGATGTCCTTCTTCTTGTTCTTTGTTGCATGTCAAAGTGTTTCCTTACTACATGTCTGCCCCTTATAGTATCAGCAGCCAACAAAGAAGAAAAAACAAAAAAATAGTACTGTGTACATGTGTACATGTTGTTAACTATGCTTGCTTGTTTGCTACTAGTAGCCTCAACGACAAGAGGACCATCTTTATAGCTGACAGGAGTGTTGGTAGTATCAGAGTTGGTGTCAAGGCGATTGCCAAGAATTACTCTCCTGACTTTTTTCATAAAATTTGCCTTCCTATGCACGGTTGTTGTGTGAGTTGTACTACTCTTCTTCTCATCAATCACCCCGACACTCCAGCAGCACTACTACTAGTAGTCTACAGCAGTCTTGCCATACAGCACTGTCTACTATGACCTACGTGTTGCAACCATGTACTAGTTCCTACTACTATATGGTTGCATTTTTAGTTGATATTCCTTTGGATACTTGCCCAGTACTTGCTTGTACTACTTGCTGGGCAAGTATCAGGATAAATTAGTAATGTATCCTGCCTCTATGTACGCACCATATTACCATATTCTACGATACGTAGTATGCTGGTCCCGTAGATTGTGTCCTTGGTTTCTGGGTTAGCGTTACGATACGTACTGTACTGTACGATACGGTATCGTACTTCTTTGGAACAAAATATTCTTGGGGAATAGGACATCCTAACGAATTGAGGGGGGAGCATGTTGCTAGAGCACTTGAGTTTCCTTATATACCTGAATCTTCTCAAATGAGAACAGAACTATGAGCGGATTTGGTCCTAAGTGTATCCGTTCTTCTCTACATATTAACGGAAGTAAGGAAGTGGGAATGAGTCTGATTAAAGCAAGAAAGAATGTACGAGGGAGAAAGCGCCCTACTTCAAAATTAAGTATGGAAGGAGTTGATACCTTTACGACATTTTTCCGGTACTGAATTAAAACAAAAATTATAGGATAACTTTTGTTTTTAATATCATCCGAAGACTCATAAACATAAGTACGAGACAAGTCTCAAAAAAGCTCGTGCCAGGAGTCTGCTCTCATATCCCATCCACTGTCTTCAAAATGATCATTCAAAAATAATTGCCCTCTGTTTTCATTAGAAGGTATAAAAGCATTGATTCTTAGCGCTTTTGCAAATAATCAATAGCCAATCGAGTTTTACCTAATTTAATCTGGGTACGATACGTACTCAACTTGACAGAGTCAACTTGGATCCATCGCTTTCCACAAGTTTGATGGATTCTCGTCACGCGTAGTTTCGTTTCAGCAGGTGTGCCGCACGGTACGTGTTATGATGATAATGAAAGCATTCCTTTCCACCAAACGATCTTTATTCTGTTATGCTTTCCACTAATAACAACACCAGCACACGTAAAGAGAGAAAAAGTGAATGCAAAGCAAGTAGAATTATTGAATGGGGTGGAGTCGATCCATTCAGTAAGTCCCAATTAACAACGTCATCTCGTCGCGAATAGAAACAAATTTATTCCTACTCCATCTCGACGTACTGATTGTTCTATTCGAACATCGCCATGGCAGAAGAAAAACAGCTCAGACAGCTCGATCGTGAAAATGCTCGAGGTTGGCAGCGGCATGATCAAGTATCACACCAAGAATATCAACAGCAAGGCCACTCGGTTCGCCATTGTCCTCATCAACAAGATTGGAACATTTATGACACGTACATTGCAAAAAATAATCAAGGTGCCTTGTTGCTCCGTGAAAAACGCTATCAAGATGCAGCATGTTGTTTTTGTCAAGCGGTGAAGTACGTAAACGAACGTTCTGAATTCCACTATCCAAACAATGAACTTCAAAACACCCAAGGACTACGGCAGGACCAACATCGTGTAGGACTTGACCTGCATCGACATACATCGTCACGACCCACCACGTCGAGTGCGAATGTCCCCCCTATTCCCAACATTTATTCATCTGCTGCGATGCCAATAAGTACGACAGAGACACCTCGGGTGATATTAAGAGCAAAAGTAGACTCTTTCTACTTGTTACTGGATGACGAAAGCAAGAGCAAAAGTAACAGCTGCAACAACTGTGGTTTGCACACATGCCAACATGCTGGCAGTAACTCTTGTGACGACGAATGTCGACAACAATGCGGGGACGCCTCGTTTTCTGACGATGATAGAACCAACTGTGAAGGATCCTACGTATTCCGTAATCCAATAGTAGTAGTCGAATGCGATCCCATCAACACCATCAGAACCTCCGCATCAAATAATGGCGTGGAAAACAGTTTCACTTCATCAACAACTGCTCTAGTAGCAAGAGCAAGAGCAACCCCTACGTTCGCCAAGGACGCATGCGTCAAGCTATCGTTACTGAGCGTATACAATTTGGCTTTGACGTACCATCTTGCCGCTCTTGATAACAAGAATCATCGACGAATGGAAGCAAACAACAATGGTCTCGACCTGCATTATCGAAATGATAACGACTCAAATGTACAACAGCCTACAAAGAGAGGTTCTCCTGATGAGGTGGAAACAACGTCTGATATGAGCAAAGGCACATGCAACAGACGCCCGTCAAAGCGGCAGCGTATGGCGAGTTATATGGACGGCATAAACAACACAAGCGGTAGTGCTACTAACAGAATGAAAAGTATGATTTCAGTGACTCCATATGGTGAATGCGCCAACCCCTACCACAATGATGTTGACAACCAGAATGACGAAAACATTAGTGATAGCAATGACGATAAAATCAACCGCACATTGCTACAGCAAGCTTTGACCTATTACGAGATAGCCTACCGCATGTTGGTGAGCGAAGAGAATGTATTGGTCTCACAAGCCATGGTAATTCTTAATAATATCGGGCACATCCATCGTTTGATGGGAAGCGAAGAAAATGCGAAGGAATATTTCCAGAGGCTATTGACCACCATGATGTACCTACAGCAGACAAGCGATTCTCGTCAAATCAAACACTGGGATTCCTTCTTCACAAATGTTGTTGACTTGGTAGTGCCACCGAACTTGTCACATAAAAAATATGCAGCAGCTGCATAACGTAGTACTATGAAGCTATTGTGGATTTGACGGTTATGGAAGAGAAAAGTGTGTTGATTTATCTGTCTATATTTGATGTGATCAATGTACTCAGGCATGGAGTGTAGCCAGAACATCATATTTATTTATTTTTGATTTGCACTTCTAAATTCTTGAAGACTTGTCACGTGCCAGCAGTATGGTTTATACTCATATAAAGTGCTGCCAGTAATGTGCATCAATTGCTTCCACATTCTACATGTTATTCCAAGCAATGGACCACCTTTTAAGAAATAAAATACAAATTACTAGGAATCAGGAATACACCAGTCTTCGTACCTTTGATGCGTATTAGCTTATTACAAAGAGCACCCACAACATACAAGGTAGAAGTAGAGTACGGTGCAGTAAGGTACCATTATACTACGCATTGCGGATCAATTGAAACTACATTTCACAGGGCATTCCCAATCTTAATTTAACATTCCATATGTTAGAAAAATGTTCCAAATGTTTATTTCACACATGGAATGTTAAATTTATTGCATAGGCCTACGTAGGTCCTACTAGTAGTACTATCCACATTCTTCATTCAGTCTTGCACATGCCTAAAAAAGGAAGAAGGGATCTAAAAAAGAGGAAGAAGAGGATGCCTCCCCTGCTAACTTTCACACTGTTAAGCAGAGCATTCAGGACGTTAAATTGAAGCAAAAACCACAGTACTCATTTCTACATAGCCTATGCTGCTAACATTCGGAATTAACATCGGGAACGCCCTGTGAAACGTAGTTTCAATTGATCCGCATCGCGTAGGATTATTTTTTTCTTCGCGCCGTCATCCGTCATGCGTTAACAAAACAAAGGTGCGCCAAGATTGTGGCATTTTAAAATTTTGATGAAAATGGTCGAAAATCGGAAAACCCCAAACCAGTCGAAAAACACTGTGAAATTACAAATTACAGTAGTTGGTACCGTACGACTGCCTTTGTAAAGCAGCCAAATGTAACTTGTGAATGTTCACTTCTTAATGAATATTTTTCCGAGTGATAAGATTTCCATTCTGTAATGTAACCGAGCGTTTATCTTGGTTTATTTCTTGTTTCGATTTCTACAGCATTCGAAACGATGGTTTGTCTCTTCGAAAATTTTCGAAACGCGTTATTATTCATTGGATTCGGAACCGGTTTGATGGGACCCGACGATGTCTTTCTTACATATGGACGTACAATTTCGTTAAAATCATCCATTGAATCATTTCCATCACCTGCATTACTTTCCTCGAGAATGGTGGTGGCAATTGAGGACGAGAGAAAACATCATCAACACGAATGAATCTCTGATTCTCAACATCGCCATGGACATATCGGTAGCTACGTCGCCATTGAATAGAAGGAAAACCATGAGCAAGTCCAGGAGACGTCAAATAGATCGATCCAATGTGCGAAAGAGGATACTATGGTAGTGCAACACCTCTCCGTTTGTAGGAAATATGAAAGCTGTAGAGATGTGATCAAATGGAAGGATCACATCGTCTTTCTCTCCGTCTGGGTGAGTGTTCCTCATCGGCCACCAACCAAAACCCTTGTGTCATCGCCATTGCTCTAAAATGTGTTGATTTTGGTCTCCGGAAAATCAGTTCATTCCATTCTTTCAGGTTGTGTGGTCACTAGCCCAGGAAAGAACTACACTCAGAAAAATTGAATTTATATTCTTTCAAAAATCTATAATGGTAGATCTTGAAGTTTTTTTTTCGTTCTAGAAAATCTCATCCTGAACGTTACGAACAATAGTATTCTTAAAAGCATTTTGGAGTACGGTAGGAGAGTCCATGATAAACGTCAGAAATCACTGTACACAACAAAGCTTGAGTTGGTAATGTGCTCTGTACCAATGTCTTACTCTCTCTCTCTCTCTCTCTTGCCTATGGTCCATTTCTAAATATATTATCATTATTACAACATAATAGTAGTGTGTCGAAAAGCTACATTTCTTCAATACTCGGCCACGTCTACTAGTAGTCATTACAATTTTCCTTTTTCGAGCTGAGTGAGCCATTTCTTTTTGAGTCGTCTGCATTTCCAAATACTGTAATTCGTGTGAGGCAGTACACATACCACGTAGTAAATCACGAGTAGGTAGTGAGTGACAGCAATAAGCTCAACCACTCACTCACTCACTCTTTATTGTAATCCCCGTATTACTATACGACACTAAAGAGCATACTTACACTTTGCAGGGTTTGTCGCAATTCGTACTTCGTAGTAATACAGTAATGATTGGTGACTGGTTTGCGTCCACGACTGAAAACTTTCAAGTCAGTCTAAACCGGACCATGATTACCATCCAAAAATCAAAAATCATGAATATTCATCCTCTGGAAATTCCGACCGTGGGTTGATGGATGCATGTTCCGTACTTTTCCGTACCGTAGTACGGTACCGTTCGTACAATCATTTACAACAGAAGTATCCCAGGAAAGATAGGAGATCGCCTAATGCCGGTAGAATAGAATCGATCCCATTGACAGTGTAACAGAAGAGCGAACCTATCAATTGCTACACAGTTGTTGCGAGCACAATATTCCAATTCAATAGTAGCGGACGGCGTCCTGAAACACCCTTTGTATAAAACGACGAAAAAGGGTGCTCTGTCAGAGGCTTCTGAGATGTCGTCAGCATGTATGTATTCGTCGGTAATGCAGAGCTTGTTACAGAACAGCGACATAGATTGGAATCAATTTCTAGAAACAATCTGGGAGAGAAAATGCCATCGATTTGTTTTCAATGAAGATAAGCTATCATCTAAATCATGTTCTGAGAATAATGTTTGGACTGAAATGGTCCATCGCGGATGGGCTGTACTGACGCAGCTTATGGATGGGTCCTGTTTAGTAGGCGATGGAGATAGATCACAACAGAAGGCATCCATAGCTACCGGCAAAGGTGATTGCGACTCGCCCCTATTATTCCGAGATTTGCAACCCATGGATGACCCAGATGAAATTCATAGACTCTATAACAACAGTCTTTACGCCGCATATCTAGCCGGAACCTCGATCGTGTGGAATCATGTCGATTTGAAATCTCCTCGAGTCGCAGCCCTCTGCGAAGATTTGCAAGGGAGCCGATGTAAACCAGAACAAGAGCATGAACGACGAACATATAGTTATAAATCTTTGAAGTTGGACCGCGCCTTTTTTCCTCACGCGTACGCCAATGCTTATCTCACGCCACCCAAGTCACAAACCGTCCCTCCGCACGCCGATGATCGAGATGTTCTTGTCTTTCAACTTGTTGGAAGGAAACGATGGAGAGTTTATCAACAAATACCGATTCACTATCCTTTTACGCACGAACAAGTGGGAAAGTCCGGCATCGCGGTACCCGAGTCTGTACTCAAGGGCCCCCTGGCGTTCGACGACTCATTACAGCCGGGTGATGTTCTATACATACCCCGCGGAATGGTCCACGAAGCTAAGACTGACACAGGCAATGACGATGTTCCGGAATTGAGTTTTCATATTACAGTGGCATTGGCAACTTATGATTGGACATTGGTAGGAAATCTAAGCCGAATGCTTCAAACAAAATTAATGAACATTGGAGAATTGCTACCGTCATCTACCGATGCATCGTCATCGGCACGAACATCGAACACGACTCTCTCCCCAATGAATTTGCGTCGATCTATTTTACCAACAACACGAGAGAATTTCCGCCGGAAACACCGAGACGAAGGAAAAGGTGACGATTGTAAAAGTGTAACAGATGCTAATGGTGCTGCATCGCCAGCTCGTCTTGATTGCGGTGGCTTTCTCGTTGACACCGGGGCAATTCAAAAAGGAATAGATAGTGTCTTTAAAAAGCTTCGGACCGAAATCACGGCCGAATCCGTCGCCGAAGCCATGGACCATAGAATCAAAGCACACAACTTACGCGCATCAGGGAAACGCAATGCGCTGATAATGATCGGGGAAAAAGATGAATCTCAATGTGAGCCCAAAAAGAAAGCCATTGCGGATCCCATGGATTTGGTTGTGGGTCCAGTAGCGGCAAAAAACGTATCTTTAGAAACTCACATTCGATCTTCGACTCCTATCGAACGCGATTATGCACAGAAGAAAAGCAGTGCTTCAAGTTCTTCTGCGGCTGGATTGAATGTTCGGGACGAAATAGGAGACGATGTTGCAGAAATAGTTACAAAGATCAAAATACAACAACCGCAGCAAAATTCTACGTTTCGGGTTGGAGATTTTCATAAACTTTTGGAAGCATATTCACATTCATTGGTTTGCAAATTGACCTCATTGAGCCTAGCAAAACGTGCTGTCGAGCTTGGTGCTTTTGCAGTGTGCGATTGGGACGGTACCGAAGTCCCAAGAGCGACGAAACGAAGAAAAATTGATGTCAATATCTGAATTTGATTATGATCAAAGATTCACGAGAGCACACTGGTAAAAGAACGAGAGGCATTCGAGTCAACCTAAATAAGAAGATAAGGTGTTATCAGTAGGAAGGGGCATCCATGTGCGACGCTTATTTTTGTCTCCAAACGATACGGGATGTAAGTCATGAACGTACGGTACTTCAAGAAGTCAGAAGAGGAGTGAATCTTGATCCCCGGCATACTGATTGTCTTCACTGGAATAACGATGAAATCACCATCAAATCAGTAGCGAAAGTGGACTTTGATTTTTGTACTCCCATAGAAATAATCTGAAAATCATTCATTCTTGAAGTAGCATCCTGTTGAAAAGTTACCAAAAAGGTATGAGAGATGCTAGATTTGCTCTCTTTGTTGAGTATCACTTCCTACTATTACTACTAGTATAATACAATACAAATTGCAAAACTAGTAGAGAAGTAGGTAGTAAAATACAAGTACGACTGCTACCACAATAATATTTCTTTGTTGACGGTTTTCCCAGCAAATTGAGCTTACACATCATGATACTATTCTTCAGTAGGACAACAAGGCCCTGCATCAATAATGATTATTTTTTTTTCACTCTTTTTTCAAGTATTGTTTACCCACCAAGGCATGTAGGATTACCACAACTTCTGTTCAATTTTTGGCATCTACACTACTAGTACTAGGAAAGAAAAGTCCAAAGAAAAAAGAAAACAAACAAGCTGCCTTCTTGGTAGTGTTGGGCCCATATTCCATGGAGGAGGTTAAATTGTCAATGGTTACAGTTGGACTGCAGGATGTTGTTGTTTTTGTTGTTATCCCAATATTTTGAGAGAGGCAATTGTTGCTCATGATAAAAACTCTCAAAAATCAAGAGAAGTCCACTAAATGTAATGTGGTTGACGGAGAGCAACCACCAGAGTTCCCAACAACAATGGATGACAATAACAACAGTGGCAAAGACAATATGGAGGAAACACTGAATGAAATGGAAACACAAACAAAACAGAACAAGAATATCAGACTTCCCATCAACGTCAAGGATGAAGGCAGAAATTGAACTATTACAATTACTCAAACACCGCAAGATGCCATTGAAAGTATTTGCAAAAATTTGGGATGGGGGGGTGAACAGCCAGAAAATTCATGGTTTCAAATTTGAAGGGGGTGGTGGCCCAAGAACAAGGACCACAATTTTAGATCAGTTGTATCAAAATCTACTGGTTCTGCACATGAATTCATTCCAACCAAAGCTTGTGCCTTGGCTTCTGGATAACAGTGCAAGGGAGGTATACTATATATGTAAGTTTTGAGATGCTTTGCTTTTGCTGCTTCCTTGCAAAGATCTTATGAAGGAGTAAAACCTGTTGTTCCCCAACTCTAAAGAACCCTACATCACCAGAGCATGATGGTTCCTTATTACTAACAGACAACACAGGGGTACAACAGCTACATCACAGATCCTGGTGGTGTGAGACATGGAAGGATCAGTGCCAAGGCAATTCAAACAAAATCATGGTTGCATCATACTTTACATGAATGGAGTCTCTTTGGATGTCCAGGGCAATTGAGCCTTACACCATTGAACATGATACTGAGAATATTCAATTTGGAAACAAGGAGTAGAGCTAATGCATGGAGAACCATTTACTTCCACCTTGTTGTTAAACATGAGCTGGACAGCCTAAAAGACAGACCTGACAGGCAGGGTACAAAACCTTTACATGGGAATTAGGATGGTAATGAGTTTGTTCAAGCAAACTTGTGAGATTGATGGTGGAGTGCAATGGGATTTCCTTCCATACGTTGGTACTAAAGTGTGGAAGGTAAGACGAATGAAGTTCAGTATAGCATAGCTACATTGTTGTTGACACAGAAATGCACAACTGCCTGTGTGGAAGATACCAGGCAAGGGCTGCAGGGGTACATAAACTATGCAGACAATGCTGCAAGTGTGATACAGAGAACACCTGTAATCTGTCATCAGTGCAGTACAGGCAAGAATTATGGAAGCCTTCTGACTTCCACTCCTTGCCCATGGGGCACCCACTCAGAACAAGGAAAATAGCTAATGGATATTGCACCACTCAATACACAATGCCTTCCATGAACTAAACTTTGGAGCCAATGACCACAACATCTACCTAGCTTCACCGGGAGAGTGCCTTCACATGCATCAGCTGGGGTTTGCAAAACACGCTGTAGAGTCATTCAAATAACTAGTCTCTGGGGAGATAACTGATGTACCATGTGGACCTGAGTTCGGAGGTAGCCTAGAAATGTGTCGCTCAATGGGGTTATTGGGGCAGGACTAGGGAGCCCTACTGTCTTGACAATCTGATTGGGATTTTCCAAGCACCAAATTTGGTACCAACATACTCAACAACAAGAGAAAGGAGGGACATGACTTTGCAGGCATATTAATCTCCTCCCTGTTAGCCCTGGTTTCAAAGTGTGGACTTGGGATAGTAAAGGACCAAACATTTGCACAGGAATAGATACAAACAATAGAGTGGATTCTGTCCATGGAGGAATTTCTTAAGCATGGCAAACCCACTGCATAAAAAATTGCCCATTTCATGAAAAGTTAAAACAAGACTTGTATTAGGGGGGGATGGGTACAAATCTCATAAAAACTCACTTATTTTCGTTTGCCAAAGTACATGGAGCTTTGGGGTTCACTGTTTGGGTGGGATTCAGCTCCCAGTGAGAGTCACCATAAAACAGAAAATCAAGGCTCCATTGAAGAACACCCAAAGGAGGGCTTCAATCTTGTGAAACAGACAACCATACATCAGTCAGAACAAATGTTAATCAATACTGCAATATCAAGTTATTGTCTTGGGCAAGTGGATGGTCCCAAAACAAACAAAGAATTGTAATACAGGGAGGGTGCAAGATTCAGTATTTTGTGTGGGGACGATGTTGCCATACCAACGATGGTATAGAAACAAAAAAAAGAAACACCTCATTTTCCAGATCAAAAAGAATTTAAGCTGTGAAAAAATTGATGTGGAAATACTTAGACCATTGTCAACAACACAAACTATTTCACTGAGAGAGCAGGCTTCGACCTTTGCATTGGCAAGAACAGTTGGCCATACCAAGAAGGCTTTGGTGGTCCTTTTGTGAACTATCTCAAAGGGAAGATGATTGCTTGTGGTGGACAAACAGTTGTCATGTCTGATGTTGATAAGATCAGGCCTAGAGCTTTGAAGCACTCCCATATCAACCCTGCTGAAGTGCACCCTATTATTGAATCTTTTGTCCTTGGTGACATTGGATATGGCAAGATTTGGAAATCACTTTTTCATATCACAGCTGATAATTTCTTCCTCTCAGACTCTATCTTGGATTGGATGGGTGAGACAGGATTGGGAATGATTGGAACTATGGCTAAGAATAGATTGCCTTCAGGAGTTCTTTTTGTTAAAAAGAATGCTGCTAGAGATTCTAATGCAAGAGGAAGAGCGAAGGCCTCTAGATTTTCCAAGCTCATCATGCTGGTGAAGACCATGGAGGCAGATCCTAAGAAAGGAACCAAAGCCTACAGGAGAGTGCACTGCTCCTTCCAAAGCACAGGCAACAGTAATCTTGGATCAGTGAACTCAGTTCCTCATCCTATCTCTGCATTTCTTACCAGCAACAGAAAAGAGGGCAAGGAGTTGACAAAAGGAGGATGTGCATTGAAATGAATGAGTCTAGAGAGCTGTACCTGTATACATATGGTAAGCATGATCACATTGATGCCTACATCTTCAGAGCAAATATTGGTTACAAATCCTGGAAATACTAGTACCATGCTGCAAACAACCATGCAAAATTTTTAGCAATTGCCACAGCTTACAATGTATATACTAGAGTGCTGTGATGGCAGTATTGGTGAAGAATAGAAGGTGAGCACAAAGATGGATATTGAGGATGAGGAGGGGGCGACACCACCAGTAGTAATAGTAGTAGTAGTAGTAGTAGTAGTAGAGACAACAACAATCTTGTTGTTTTCACCATGCAGTACTGATGCCACTGTAAACAGTTAACAACTCACTCTACCAACAACTGTTGATAGTACTACTAATATTGATTTCAGCAAAGTCCAAGGTGCTGTACTAGTGATCAGACCAATAGAAGCAGTGTAGCAGTGTAGGAGGTTGTCTTAGAAATAGGTAATTAGTACTATTATGAATATGGATAGTAGATCTACTGCTTTGATTTAAGGGCCCAGTTGGTTTCTGCTGATACAGTCAATGAAGTTCCTCCTTTAGCTGCTGATTCCAAGCCTGATTTGGTTGCTTGTTCTCCTTTGTTGTTGCAGGATCCAGATCTATAACCTTCCAATATGCATACTCAGCCTTTACAGACTCCTGTGGTACTTCCTTGTCTCCTCCATTAGAGCTACCACCATCAGATCCATATAACTCCTCATAGTCATTGTAGTAGTACTAGCTGGTGTCAGAATCCCAACAGAAGCTCTGATTCATAATGCTAGGATTTCCCACTTGTCACAAGCAAACTCTTTTGTACACTGAACGATGAAAGCAAGGAGTGTATTATTTTCCATCTTGAATAGTAGTAGTCCTGTAGATCTCAAAGAACCATTTGTGCTTGTGTGTAATCTTCATCTTTGGAGGGAGCAGAGGCTTTGCAGACTTAGCAAGCTCAATTGCCTTTGCAAGATCATTCTTCTCCTTCCAGCACAAGTCTCATTCAGCTCCTTGTTATATGGTGTAGGCTTCATATCACATTCCTAGGCTTCAATCCACTTCTAGTCTTGATTCAACACAAATGGGACCTGTGGTGAGGGATTCTCAAGTTTCTCTGCTGGTGGTGGCGGATGGGGAGTTTCAGGGGGAAGAATAGATAGACTCATGACTATTTGAATCTTCCATCCATCCCCTGAATCAATTTGCTGTTGCTTGATTCACTCAATTGTTTTCCAAGAAGCCTTTGCTTCTGAATGTCACTTCATCTCCATGTTACACTTTTTGAAGATTGCAAGCTTGCGCTGTGGCAGCAATGTCTTCTCTACTGATGCTTTGGAACCAAAAGCCTTGCTTGTTGGTGCCTTGCCTTCTTGATCTTCTTTTTGTTTATCTTTCTTGCTCACTACTTGTTTGGATGGGGATAGATGAATAGCCCCTTGGGGCAGAGTGGCGGTGGTTGTATTGTCAAGTCTGGAGAGCTGTTGGTATATCAATGGTATGATACATCCTTATGGAGCTCTTCCACATGATGGGAGTCTGGTGTTTTTAGTTGCTCAGTTTGCTTGGTTTGCTGCTGCTTGCTTTTTTCAGTACTATTATGGGTTGCCTCCCTTATATAATGTATTGTTCTTGATTGATTCCAAGAGATGGAAATGTAATTGATGCATTATGTTAAAGCACAGAGAAATGCATCCACCACTGTTCTTTTTTCCTGATTGACTATACATACTACTAGTAGAACAAATGAATCAATGGGGTGTCTTGCCAAATTTAGAGTTGGCACAATTAGTTGGCAAGTATTGTGAGCTAAAATAGTAGTTGAGCAAGCAGTTGAGCACACCAGCCAGTCACTCTAGTATTGGTTTTGGGACTGGATTTGAAAAATCAAAGTTGTTGTTACATGATAGTAGTAAACAACAAGAAATAGCCCAAAACCCAACAGTCGCTTGATAGAGATAAACATGCCCATTTGTTGTTCCTAATAAAGAGAGGATTCTAGTAGTCACATAGGAGAGTTGGGAGGTTGTAGTGATATTGATCAATATACATATGCATAGTATATACAGGATTAAAAACCAACAATTTAATTGGCTTCTTCTTCTTTTCACGCCACCAATGCTACTACTATGGAGGAATACTACTGACTTTGTTGAAGTAGTAGAAAATTAACATTAGGAAAAACTTCCATCTTCTGTTGAACTATGTGCATAATTGATGGTATCAACAAGTTAGGTGAAAATCAAGGGTGACCAAGATATAACAAAAGTGGTACAAAATGGGGAATCTCCACCAGTCTGCTACTACTAGTAGTACTACTACTAGTACTAAGTGGTGCAAGACTAGTACTGGTGGTGAAGATGCTTACTAAGAATGATTGGGGCAATGATAGTTGTGCCATTCACAGGCAGGAAAGTCATGTAACAAGAACAACAGCACCATCCATTGTTTGGGGGTGGTGTTCTTCTTACTAGTATTCCTCAGCAGGAGGGGCGGGACTCTGGATGGGCGGCATCCACAAAAGAAGTTTTCAAATCCTTGTCCTGTTGTTGTGTTGTTGTGGCTCCCTAACTGGGAAAAAAGTCTGTTCTTCTTGCTCTTGCAGGTGTTGCTCTCCTGTTTTGTTCCTTCTTGGTAATGCATGATCCATGATACCGTACTACTAAAAGTACTACTATCTACTATCATTGTGCCTACTACGTTATCATATGTATTGTATGGTACAGTATTCTGTATTAAAATTACGTGTTCTCATTTAAGCTGCTCCTTTCGAGCACTTCGTGAAGCTAAACCCCAAACGAACTTGGTTCGTGCCATGTGGAACAGAGAGCGTGGAAATCTCGTGGAAATGGCCTTTTTTTTACTTAAGGAAATAAATTCTTCAAAATCTCATTTATGCTTCGATATCGTCGCGTGTCCGTTCTGTAAGCGTGCATTGCAAAACAAAGAATTAAGGCTTTGAAGCCCAACCCGTGTCGAGACAAGGGTTCTGTTAAGGATCAGAAGTGTCTGGTAGTGCAGAAGGCTGACAATTTAAATGGGGTGCGCATCGACGTCGTGGTTTCGATGAAATTGGAATGGTTTCGACGCTTCCCAAAATCGGTGTTTAGAGCGTACATACGGTACGGTACCGTACCAGGCAGCCTACGACAAGCCTCAAAGGACGGTTTTGTTACGTTATGTTGTTGAAGCTCGATGCCCACGACGCGTGTTTCTTGCTTACGATACCGGCATGACCAATCAAAAATATCTTTCGGAAGAGAATCTACTTATGTTATTAGTATTTTTGTACGCTATTGACGTAGAAGACATTCGAGTACTGAAAACGTCCGTACGATTTTACTCGTATTTCGTTTTCAATCAAACGATATAACGTTTGGATGATGATCCATAACTAAATTCTCGTTGCGTTACACTGTAGAGAGGTTCCGGCTGTAGTCACGTAGTAGTACAATTCAACGTAACGTAACGCAACGTAACTACAGTAGGTTACCTTATCATCCCCCGTAACTCTCGAGGCGTTTTTGTTCCGCTTCTTCGAGAACAAGACGCATGCTAGCTGAACTTGCATGCAGGTGGCATCAACGGCTTCCAATCATCCATCATCCATCAACTAAGAGAACAGCATCTGGTGTTGATTGACCCTACCGTAGGCCACTTGACACACCAGGCAAATCGTACCCCTACCCTTATCCAAGCCATAAAGTACCTACCGATAACAAATAAAGGAACGTTCGGAGTTTGAACACACACTCCGAAGTGCCGATCGATTTCGCAAACGAGGTGGTTACTCGTAACACAAGCAGGGTTCGATAGATAATCCGCAATCGACAGGCAAAGGCTTGGATTCGTTCATCGGCAGTCATCGGAAGCAAGTAGATCGGGTATAGCTCGGCTCGTCACTGCACAACATAACAGGCAAGCGCGAACGCCAAAAATGGAAAACACCGGCAATGGCTGCAGACGTAGCCACGACAACCCCTCCTCCAGTCCCATGCACATCGGCATGCAAGGAGTTGGTCTCAATCCGTTTTCGGCGGACGAGATCCAGGAGTTGATGGGGCTGATTCCCGGCAGTGATCAACACTCCCACCCCGGGACAGCAGCACATGCCCATTCGCATTCCTCTTTGTCTCATGCGCATGCGCCTTCGCCTCTGCCGCATGCCAACAGTCTCGGAAACGACATGAGCGTTGGGGTGCACAATCCCCTCCAACTAGGCAACAACAATACGAACCAAGGCAGCAACATGAGAGCAGCCGCATCCCATGCCGCCGAGATGGGCTTGGCTTCTCTTCCGCCCCACCCCGGCCACGGGATGGTCCAGCCAACGTCGTCCCTATCGTCCATGCCGACCATCGGCAACGGCAATCACGCAACCTCAAACAGGAGGCACAGCAGCGGAAGCAACACCAGTACGGCTATCGACGAGGGAAGCAAGAGCCAGGCGCGTTCCGAGCGGAAACGAAGCCGTGAAAAACAGCGCCGGACCGACGTGAACAAACAATTTGGTGAACTCACGGAAGTCCTCAAGCGCATCGAAGCGGAAGAGCAGCAGATGCAGCAGGAGCGCGCGGCGCGAGAGGAAGCCGGTGTCGACGGGGCTGTCAACAACGGCAACGGGAGCCAGTCGTCGTCCTTGTCGTCGTCGCGCATGATCCTCCCGCCCTTTTCACCGACCAACCGGGTCGATCTGATCGCGCGTACCATAGCTCATCTCGAGCGCCTCAGCCACCTGACCAAGAAACAGGTCCACGAGATCAAGGCGCTGGACGATCAACTCAAATCAGCGCAAAAAGCGGGCGAAGATACGGCACAGAAACTCAAGGAGGCTGTTTTCCATCATCAGCAGCAGGCCACCGTCCACATGGGCAACAACACCGGCGGCATGATGATGGCCCCCGGAATGATGGGGCAACCGATGAATTCGATGTTCAATCCCATGGCGATGGCGAACGGAACGAACGGAATGATGTCGATTCAGCCACAGAAACAGCAGGTGAGATCTGTCTTTGTGCATTCTTTGAGCAGCGCTTGGTCATTCGCTGATTTATTTCGTGGTGTACTGCGATTCGATGCAATGATTACGGGTTTGATGGAGAAAAACTCCACCATCTTCTTTTACTTGTATCTCATGATTTTAACATTTCTGATAATTTTTTTTCTGCTTTTGTTTTGACAACAACAACAAAAACAGATGATGATGATGGTTCCTATGATGATGCCGCCGCAAGGAGGAGCCCCGGGGACACCCATGATGCCAACTGGCAACCAACCCTTTATGATGATGCCTCAGGTGTTCTTGCCATCGCAACAGCAGCAACAACAAAAGCAGCAGCAGCAACAACAACAACAGCAAGCCTCMCCGGCAGCGACTACGAATTCCACGGTTGGTGGAACCACCAGCGCTGCTCCCTCCTCGTCCACCAACCCGCCGGTCGCCGCATCTGTCTCGGTTTCCAGCAACCCCGTTCCTGCCCCCGCTCCCGTTGCACCACCCGCCGTCCCCTGCACGCAGCAACAGCAGTTGCAAACCCAGCAAGCTATGATGATGCAACAGGCCATGATGATGCAATCGATGCAACCCATGATGCAACAGATGCAAATGATGCAGCAAATGCCACAGGCACAGCAAACTGCGCATACGACTGGTGCAATGCCGCCGCAGCAGCAGCAGCAGCAGCAACAGCAGCAAATCCTTTACCCAGGACAGCAACAAATGCAACAGCGGCAGTCTACTCCGATCATGCCGGCCCCCGTTGCTCCACCAGTAACCACTGCGGGTATGGCAGCTTCTCAGCAGCAACAGCAGCAGCAACAACAACACCGGCATCCTCCACAGGTACAGCACCCTCCACTAGTCGCTGCTGATAACAACACTGGCGATTCTGCGCAGTCTTCGTCCCAACAGCAGCAACAAGACGCGAAATCGCAGCAGACTACCGAGGCCGATAGCTATGCTTATGCGGCGTAGTGCAACACAATAATATGATGTTTTGTTCACCGAAGCAATGAGTGGACGAAAATAATCACATCAGCGTTGCGATTTTGTGTTAGAAACGGGGGATGATACTATAAATATGGAGAGGCTAATCCATCACACACGAAAAAGGAATTCTGCATGCAGTCGTGACTAGTGACGATCAATGATCGAAGAAACGAACGAATATTGATTGATCCGAAGGAAAGAAGAAAGAAGAGAACCGAAAAGGAGCAAAGGAAACACTCCTTACTTTCCCAAAGCTTTGAACATGAGGAAAGCCCTTAGCCTATGAACGAGAATCAGCACTCAATCGGAACACAAAACAAAGACTTTATCTAGCACCGGTGGGGTCTCTCTTTTTTGGAAATGTATACATGTAGGTAATTAACGATAGAAACTTGCAGTAGATAGGAAGAAAACGTGAATAAAAAGTACTGTAGTTGTCATTCTCTACTTCAAGCAATACAAATGCGACAAGAGTCTTAAAAGTTCTAACCTCTACGGAACGCACATTTGTAGATGTTGTAACGCAGAAACCATAGGAGAAAACAAGACGCCTGTTTGTAATCTGCGTTTTTGGTCTCCTCACGCAGAACACGGAATTGAGCATCGTGTGGTCAGGGGGGAGGTAGGTCTCGTTTGTGTCACGAGCAGTGGCTGTTACCAAGCACAATACGCAACGGCTCTACATACCATCGTCGATAGCGCTATTCGTTTGCACCTTACTAACCCATTTGTTGAATGAGCTTGCTTCCATTCAACACACGGGTTGTTACTACAACAATGTGGTAGGGAAAGGTTTCGCGGTTGGAAAGAAAGCGCAGGGCTGCGATTTCCATGAAGGTAATCCCACCTAAATATACCACAATCAGCGTGGGTTTCTTCTTGCTATTTGTGCGCTTCTTGCCGTAGGCACCTAGTGGCTCGAGACGGGACGAGGATTTCGACTGTCGCTGCTTTCGCAAGGTTGTTGGTAGATCGCGGGGAGGGTAGGTCTGCCGGACGTCCAAGAGCCTGCCGTTGCCACCGCTGCCGCTGTTGTTCGAGGCCATCATTTGAAACAAATCTCTCAAAATATCTTCCTTGTCGGGTGTGTGCCACCCCTGCATCGCCGACTGAATCAATCGCACAGTGAGTGGCGCGTATCCGGAACTGACATAGGAGACGTCGTCCGGTTTGACCGTGTTGACCTCGGCATGGATCAGGATGAGATTGCGCTTGATGTTTTGAAACAAAGATCTATTGGCGCTATCCATGACAAAATTAGTGGCAAGGTTTCCTTCCATCTTTTTGATCCATCCCATTGTTTCTAGATCGTGGAGGATGGAAAGGAACTCGTATCCGTAGACCTGGACGATGTATTGTTTCAGCTGGTCGTACCGATTTGCCTTGATCCCTCCGGATGTGAGCGACTGGAGACACAGTAATCGCAGCAGTTTGTAGGGAGGATAATTTTCAAAGATTCGTTCCTCAAGTATATCGTAGCATGATTCTCCTTCAATCATGGCCCGCTCGGAGTTCCATTGATCACGAAAGGCAACGTCTTCCGTGGTAGCCTTGATGAGCTCCGCCAAATGGATGTGATTAGTCAGAGACCGCAAGCTTTGTGTAAAAATCTGCACGAAATTGAAACAAAAACAATATCATTTGTGAGAACATCATTCATACGTAGCGAAAAGACATCACAAGCCATACTCTAGATCTGGATCTGCATTCGTCTTGGCGCACTATCCTGGATAGCAAGCTGCTCTACCGAAGCTCATCTTCCAATAGTGATAAAAGACAAATACTCACAGGAATTTGTTTGACAAAGGTGTGTATTTCGTTCAGATCCTTTTTGGTCTCGCGCGAAGTAAAATTTGCGTGGCTTTCCTTGAGAGCGACCGCTTGGTTCTGGAGAAAACTCCCGAATTGTTCCACGTGCTGGTCCCGAACCTCCGCAAAGAGGCTGTCCCCCGCATGAACGCCCAGCGTTACAATCTTTGTGTCTTCGATGGCATCCGGCGCATCGTCGTCAAACGGATTGCTGGAAGTTGTTGGTGACGAGTCGGTTTCGAATGGATTGTTGGACTTTTTGTTATCCTCCTTTTTCTTTTTTCCGTCTCCGCTCTCCTCTTCGTCCTCGGAGGGATTGATGATCTGCTCCGCAATACCGATGAATCCGCAATCGATTCCAACCAATTCATCGAGGAGGCCCTCATAGGTCAATGGCGTGACCATTGGCGTGACCATGTCCAAGCGTCTGTCCAAAAGCATCATCGCCGTCCCGTTGTCATCGTTTTCGAAGTCATGGTCAGCATCCTCGTCGCCATCGTTTTCCTCGTCCTCGCTGATTTTCTCTTCTCCGTTTTCTTCCTTTTCGTCGGCATAGCGCTCATCGACCGTCTCATTCAGTAGTTTCGCAAGGACCTCTTCTCCCCAGATCCCCAGGGACTGGATGCGCGGGATTCTTCCCACGGCGTCCTGAAGCTTGCGCAGGGCCCGGGAGGTTGTTTCGATCATCCCCGAGGGTGTGCCTCCAACGTTTCCAGCCTCTTTTAGGGTATCCTCGTATTCCAAACTGATTAGATCCGTCTCGAGGGGGAACAAATCGAGCTGCAGGCTACAAACGCTGACACTGCTGCTCCCCTTCGGCGAGGACGGGTTGTAGACGCGGTGGTCCTTGAGGACCTGGGCACACAACGCCGTGATTTGCGGCACGTAGACAATCCGATGGTGCTGTTTGTGGGTTCTCGTTAGACCGGTACCGTCATTGGTGCCTTCCGAAGCTACCGCCACCGCGTTGAGAGCGCATCCCTTGATGCGACCGATGACAGCCATTGTTTGGTCGATATCCCACGGCCGCAAAAAGTAGGAGATGACGTCCACGTGCTGAAAAAGCTCGTCGGGATGGCGGAACAGATCCTCGTCTTTTTGACTGTTGCTTACTGCCCCGCTGGCGTTGGCGCTCAGTTCTTCTGCTCCCAACCACGTGGTTCGACTCCGCGGTTGTCGGAGCGCGGTATAGTCGTTCGCATTCGCATGATCATTCGCATTGGTGCTTGTGGTCTTCTGTTTCATCAAGACCTTGGTCCCAACCACGTTCGTTTGGAGGCTTCTTGGCAAAGGAAACGAGGTAGAGTCGTCCCAGTTCTTGTTTTTACTCGCAGCGGCACTTCCCTTTGCACCGCCGGTTTTCCCAAAGGTTCGGGTGTGCGGATCTTGCAGAACCTGTCGCATCAGTAATGTTCGGAGGGAGTCTTTTCCAAAAACCAGCAGCTGCCGAAAGGAAGCATCCGCTGTCGTCCCATATTCGACGGCACTGGGAATATCCACGCCATCGCTACAGGGGTGTTTCAACAAAAGCTCCAGAAACCGTTCTTTGTTGTCGATTCTCAAGGCGGCCGGGAGAGAAGGGATCGGATTCAAGGCCGTCGGCGGTGGAAGAATTACGTGATCAGATTCATCGCCAGCTCTTGACGAGGAGAGGGCAGCCGCCGACGACATGTTCTGCAATGCTGCTGATCTTGCTTTTCCTGTTGATTACCACGTTATGTCTAACGGTCTGCTATGTTGGATACTTTATACTTTCGATGACCTTGTGTAAAAAAGGATGATGCAAAATCAAGACAGTTTTTAAAATTTTCAAAAAATATTCGAAACCTGTCGTCCAAAGTTCTAGCGTCCGGTATTCATGTGATGAATTCCATCCTTTTTGGTTCATCTCATAATTTTTCCTCTATTTTTTTTTTAAAATTACGAAAAAGTAAAAAATACTAAAAGTACCAAAATTCCATCCCCCAGATCTATCCCCCCCTCTCCACACTATCATCTTCAGAAAGAATTACAGTCAGAACTTTTTCTGTACCGGTACCACTTCTACTTCTCACGTTTTGACTTCCATGATTTGGTTCGACTTCGAAACGACAAACGATATGTGACGAGATTTCTGTTTCACTTCGTTTTTTCCCTCACATCTGTTCAGAGTGCAAGCCATACACGATGATTGTTTAGAGGAACACTCCAGTGCCCTGTCAGTTGGAGGACATCCGAAGATCGGAAATGACGAATGCCGCAAGCCGCGTTGAATTTTTGACTGACTGGGTGATTCGTAATTGCTGTGTACGCAAGAAAGCAAAAACTTGTTTTTTTCGAATGATATTATCTTCGCTACCGTGGAAATTCCCCACGGTGCCAACGTGTCGATCTACATGTTTTTTAAAACATGCTTCTAAGAACCACGAAACATTCTCTCGTGGTTCTCGACGAAAATGGTTTTGACCAACGCTTCATAATAACGGCCGGATGAACTGACAATTCCCACGTGATAGATATATTGTTCTAATCAGCCCTCATCAACCGAGGGTGTATCGTGGGAGCGAATTTCCTACGCAACAATAAAATCGAGGACAAACCATTGAGTCGGAGTGCATATCGGTACGATTTTCCTCGTTCCCTCTTCACGCCACAGTAGCCCTTCAAATGGATTTTGCTTTTACTCTCGATATCATTACTACTGTAATGATAGATATTTTTTGTGATCATTTATTCTTCTGATCACAATTTTTATGGAGAGAAAGAAAGAGAGAGAGAGTCATTTCAACAATGTCAAATGATGCCTTGCTCGATAAGAACAATATAATTCCTGAGGAAACTTTTGGTAAGATTATAGACGGCGAAACAATGAAGAAGATAGAGCCGAAAAAAGATACCGAAGATGCCAAGGAGCAGGACAATCGTCGGGAAGTAGCAGAACTTTTTCGATTCGTTGCGACGGTCGAAGAAACCAAAATAATGGACAAGCATCGAGCCACTTTCAACAAACCTCCATACATTAAACCCTACAACAGAGACCGAAATGACTGGACGGAGAACCACTTTTTTTACAAAGACGGAAAACAGGATGACGCATGCAAGGTCCTCTTCACTTCTTATCAGGTCGAAACATTGATGGAGAATTGTTCTAGAGTGGATGTATATTCTAATGCAATGCCAATCAAAGTCAACGATGGAAAAGATGAAAGTGGTGGCTTCTATTATGTTCAAGCTCAGAAACCCTGTAATGCAGTCCCTATTCCAAATATTACACCCGGCGGAGTTGTCCACAAATACTTGGATAGATTGAAGAAGGTCAACGCAGAGTTTTTCGAAGACAACTGTCCATTAGAGGAAGTACTAGAAAGTCTCTCCGAAGAAAACCTCACCGTTGCTTCGAAGGGGGGTGATCACGAGGTTGCGAGCTTTGCGAAAACTTATCGCAAAGCGCTAGTGGATAGAGATTTGAAGACCATGTTCAAGCCACTGGATGATTGGCAGGGGGGCACTCTAGATAAAACAATTTATGAGTTGACGTTAGGACTTGGCCATGCTCGGATGATCTACAACAAGAAGAATTCCGAGGATCAAAAGATTCTCAATGCTCCACTTATCGAAGTGCCTGTGGAAATCGACGAGGAATCTTTGAAGGTCGTTCCGGTCCCAGGTAGTCGACTCAAGTGGAACGGGGAAGCCAAGACTGCTCTACTCTTTGCTGGAGGTAGGAAGAAAAAAATTCTTTCAGATTTTCAGACTTTGGTTGTGAAAGCCGCCCCTAAGGATGTGGTTCTTGGTGACCCACAAACATACCTCAAGTTCGTAGAAAAGGCGAGCGAGTTTTGCTGGCACGGTGAGATCAAGAAACCTACGGATGATTCACTACACGAGTTCCCACAAGATTCGGGTGCATTAGTGCTGACTGCAGGATGGTGCCTCTTTGTGAGGCCGAAGAGGAGCAATAGTATCTCAAACGATGCCCATTTAATAGCCAAGACTGTCGAAGCGACAGATTTTAATTTGTCTTTGCCTTTGCGTTCACTTGTTCTTGGATCTAACAATGAGATTTCTGAGAAATCTGAGCCCCTCGAAGATGGTTCTGGTCCCTTACCAGTACTACCCCTTCCCGCATCAAAAAGTCAGTTAGAAATGATCCGTAAGGTGTTCTCGAAAAACAATGATGTAACACTCATTCGGGGACCGCCTGGGTAAGTAACTTATTTCTTCTATCACGCTCCTCGCCTCTCTTTCCTTCTATTGTCGATCTCATATTCAGTTTTATTCATGAAACTGGTAATATAGAACGGGAAAAACGCAGACAGGATTAAATATGGCATCGGTAGTTCTACAGCGAGGTTTTGATTGCTTGGTAACATCGGATAACCCAAGAGCTCTCGAGGCATTCGAACAAAAATTGCCTGAAGATCTAAAAGTGTTTTGCATAAACATGTCCAGTATGCAAGAAGACGGAATCAGTAAACTCTCCCAAACTTTGGATCGTTTAGAGGCCAAGCTAGTGACTCTTCTCGACGGCAAGGATAGCCACGAAAAAATGATGGAGGTACGTTTCGATTGGAATGTTCTCTATCACTGTTGGACCCTACTATTATTTCTCACCATGCCTGTCTCGTACTTTCATAGACGCTTGAGCAAAAAATTGATCGAATGAAGAAGGATCGTGGGGACTTGATGGCAAAGCTCGAAGTGCGTAGTAAGATTAATCGAGGCTTGATGGAACAAAACGGATTCAGCCAACTCGTAAAGCATGGTCTAAAAGGAGATTCCAAAGTACGCCCAGTCATCCTTAGCATCCTCCAACACCACGACTTGGATGGTTTAAAAAGGGACATCATGGACCTATCCGAAAAACAAGGTATCGAGGCTCTAGAATCTATTTCTTTTCGATGCGACGACTCACAAAACATTACGCAGGACTTGATTCATTTTGCAGAAAAGAAGGCTACGCCTGCAGGACCTAAGTCAACTGGAAAGCGTCGTCAGCTCTCTATGTTCCCTTTACATTCTGGAGAGAAGCTTCTGGATCAGATCGAGTCATTTAGATTAAATGAAGACAAAAAGGATAGAAAACCTGTCACTCCAGACGACTGGTCTCGAGTTGTCCGAGGTTTAAAAGTAAGAAGAAGCCAGTCCGATTTTCGCGAAGTTCACGTAAACTCTCTTGTAAATAGAGGTTTCCCAAAGACTCTTATCTATGGACCTGACGATGTGACAGTGCGCCAAGAATTTATTGAGAATGTTACTGGTCTTTACGAAAGTGTTGATGGAGTCGGTCGCAAAGATCTTGACGACCTTCTGCAGTTTTTGGAGGATGTGAGTAGCAACAGGAAATCACAGGAGGTACTGCGGGATTTTTCTATGAGACTTCGAGAGCTTAAGGTGGAATTGGTGTATGCGACTATTGCACGGAATCGTAGCGGGTTTACGGGTTTAGACCTTGGTAACTTTAGTCAATTGAAGGAATTGACTTTAATAATGAAGGATAGCGAGATAGATGCCGCCAAAGCCAGCGACGCTACGAAGCGTAAAGCGGCAAAGTTTGCAGAGAAGTTCCGCAAGAGTCTAGGATGCATGCCTCTCCTTCTCATGACTACAGATCAAGGTGAGTCTTTCAACTTTTTGACTTGTCGTTCATCTATTGTCTTTTTCTTACTAACATAGGTTCTCTCTTATAGTCAGTAGATATATTCCTGTGGATCATCGCTTTCGCTTGGTAATTGCTGACGAAGCTTCACAGTCCCCAAGCAGTACTGCTTTGACTATCTTATCTCGGGCAAAGCAAGCAGTGGTGCTCGGAGACTCAAAACAGGCGCTCCCGACAGATGATCTGACTGAAGAGTCGAAAAGTGCACTCGATAAATGCAGCGGCGACCAGAAGCACAAGCTCAACGATCTGTTTTTGCCTGGCAACGGGAATAGTCTGTACGAGGTTTGTCTCTCACGATTTGCTGGGAGTCTTGGAATGCTAAAAGATAATTTTCGGAGCCCAGCGGACAGTATATCATGGAGCAATACTGAAATATATTCGGACCAGATACAAGCATGTAGGCCAAATGGAAGCAGGCCATCGTTGAGACTAAATGTCACAAGAAACGGCACAGAGGAGATGGCGCAATTTCTGTATGATATTGTGGAAGATACACTTTCTTCAGACATTGATAACGAAGTGCCAACGCTTGGCGTCATTATGATGGGGCAAAAGAGAGAGGCGAAAGCCTTCAAGGAAGTTCTCGATACGAAGTTAATTCCTTTGGAAAATCAATATGGAACTGAAGCTGTCGGTCGTCATTGTATCAAGGTAGCCACACCAGAGGAATTTCAAGGCGACCAAAGGAACATCATTTTGATTGGATGCTTGCCTGAGAACTCAAAGGTGCCTTACGAGACTAGTCCGGACTGCAGGCGGCTGTGGAATGTAGCAACAACTCGTCACAAGCGCGAGTCAATTATTTTTTCTTCCTACGATCTCAATAGGATTAAGAAAGGCGACATCAAACATAAAATATTTTTTATGTACAAACATCCGGAAACGCGTGAAAATGTTAGACCCTTCAAGGCGGGAAAGACTGACATACGGTCAATGGCAGAAGATAGGCTTTTTGATCAACTTGCATCACATGGATACGAGACTCGTCGTAATGCATCTGAACAATGGAAAAATGCTTTATCTATTGGACTGAAGAACGATCTACGCAGCGACAGCTGTCAACTTGTTTCAATCGAAAACTACGGTGAAACCGCAGATGATTGGCGCAAAGTCGTTCATCAACAGGAAGGCCTTGAAGAACTAGGAATATCATGTCTTCGTGTAGATGCTTTGGCCTTATCTCTTAATTTCCAGGCAGTGTTTGAAGATGTTATTGCATTTCTTAGCAAGGCAGGATTGCCTCCTCCAACGAACTTTGTTTCAGATAAATCGGACGCTGCATCCAATGCGACGACTAGGACAAGTGACGACAACATTTCTGTGGACTCCGATACAAAGCTACTTCCCTGCTCACGTCACCGAAAACGATCTCCAGGTAGAACTTCAAGCAGGGATGCCAAGCGACGAAAGGGTCACCTCGTCATTGAATGATTTCATCACACGTTATGTGTGGAACTTGTACCACGCCAAAGATTCGTCACCAGGAATTTGAATCTGGCTGAAATTGCTGCTATTTTTGCCGGCTGCTTCATCCGCATGTAACAATTTCGATATGCAATTTGTAGGAACTTTTGAACAAACTATCGTAATTATTTGCAATCTTTATTTCGTCTTACATCACTTTGAGACTTAGAGAAATATGCGTCCTACTTCTGTAGTGAGTTGATGTAAATAACTACTGAGAAAAGAAAATGATTTACTCAACTATTTGGCTTGTTCCATCACTTTTTAGCAAAGCAGGGTAGGGACCATTCCTTTAGTCCGGCTTTGTAATCGCCCGGCATGTGCTCTGTGTTACCATACAGATCCATAGTCCACTCTCCATTCGAACTGTCACCACTGTCATCACTCCCATCATCTTTGCGCCCAACGGGCCTCGAAAAGACGGTGATCCCACCGAGCGGCCAGGGAGCGAGGTTCGACTCTTCCGGAGTCGCCGCCCCTTGTTCCAGCGCGAAGGCCATGGCCTGGTCGCAGGGCGCGTGGCTGACGATACAAAAGCTGTTGCCCCCGGGATGCAGTGATAGGAGTCCCTCTAGAGTTGTTTCGCATCGTTTTAGCAAATCCGACTCGGATTCGATCCAGCGGGGGCGGTGCTTCTGCCCGGGTTTATCTCCGTTGGCAGCATCCTGCGGTGAGCTTGCTTCTGTGCGCACGGGGACGCACGTCATGCCCTCGTCGCCGGAATCGTCGTAGGGGTTAACGCTGTTGTAGTTTAGCGCAATGGTAGCAGCATTTGCATCGTTATCCGTTTGTTCCAACTCCAGCAATTTATCGCTTAAGACCTCTAAAGGCCTGGGATTGGTTTTGATTCCATCGCACTTAGTCACCAGCAAGGAAGGGATTAGCCATTCCCATAATCCTTCCTCCACCCGGAGTTCCACGGTGCCCTTATTATCATTTTCATTCACACAATTTTGTAGTTCGTTGGCAATGATGTATCCCGTATGGGCGGTGCGGAGAAAGGGACTTGCGTAGACGACAGTCGGAAGGCTCTCGTTGTTTTCGACTTCTTGCTCGATTCCGTTCTCGCTCGCCGCCGCCGTTGATGTTTCGTGAATGTTATGGATTCCAGCTGCAATCCGTTTCGCAATGTTCTTTGCGTGATCGATTCCTTCCATAGGGTCGATGTCGCTATCATAGGGGCCTAGGTCTATGTTGTTTGTTGTGTTCATTACACAAATTCAAAGACGCGAGACAGAGCAAAACAGCAAGAGTGCAATACAAAATTATCAGTCCAAAGAAAAGGGAGAGTTGGGAGAAACTGTGAAGGATTTAATTGAATCCAAATGGATCGATTTGAACCTATAAGAAACCATCGACCATAATGGGTCATTAGATAGACGCCTCACCTTCCACCAACGGGTGCTCGGTCAATCCATAGCGGACAAACCACACGTATTGCCTCTGCCGCCGACGGTCTTGATGGGGGGAAGTGTTCAGGTTTGGGCTCATCTTTATTTTCTCTTCGTTTTGTGGGGAGACAGTTGTTGTAAGATAGAGTAGCTGGTGGTATCGTTTATCTTCCTTTTGGTAAGGTAGGACAGAACATCATGTCATCATTCGATCTGTTCATGAAATGCACCATATCCAGACACGACCATCGCAGTCGTAGTACCGATAATACTACCGTATCAGTTCTTGCTTGTACTCGCTATCGCGGTAAATAAGTACAAGTACGAACCGGTACGTTGGAGGGCAGTGCCAACTCTCAGCTCTTCCTGTACCGGGAGTCTATGGGTACGAAGTGGTAATTACTTCTACATGGTACGAGTATGCTGACCGCTGTATGCTGTTCGTACGATACGATTCGTACTATCGTACCGGTACGTAAGAAAAAGATTCGACAATGATTCGTTCGATTGACTTGTTCGATTGATTATTCAACTGTCGAGGCTTACTGCTGTACGCTGTACGAGTTACGAGTACTAGTACTAGTGTACTACTTCGAACTTCGGAGTACATACAACATACAGTACATCATACATTGCATTCATGAAAGTACGTACGTACCAATACTCTGATAATTTTTATTTCCGCGAGCCAACAAGATTGATCAAGAATTGGGTGCAATCCAACACCCACAACGAATATTACAAAACGAAAAGGTATGCTTCTGTCGCGATCATTTCTCGTATACTGCTGCCTCTCCTCGATCGCTAGCCGTAGCGTTGTACATGGATTCCATCTGCGGGAGAAGACGAGGAGGAGGCCTACCGCCCTTCCATTCGGTTCAGTCCATGCCCGCTGGGGGAGTAGGGTGGGCGCTCTGCTCGGAGAGGCTGTCGATGGCGGTGAACTGGAAAATGTAGGAGAGCCGCTCGACCCCAAACTCGTCGCCGCCGCCTCCGAAAAATTGGCCTGGGAGCTCACGGAGGATCGAAGACAAAAGCCAATATTAAATCTATCTTCGAGGGATGCTTCGCCCGAGGAAACACAAGGAAAGGAAGACGAATGCGAGAATATCTCTGAGTGGGACCGGGGCCAACGGTGGAAGATTTCGCTTGGATATCTGTCCGATCTCGGTGTCGACGTCGATGCAACTCGTGCCGCACACAACGGTCACGAAGAAATACTCGGCGCTGCGATGCTGGAAAACTGCCCTCAACTGGTTCGATTGAAACCCGAAGCTATCCGAGATACGGCAGAATGGATCGCAACCGAATTCGGGCTCGGCTACCTGAAGGATTCCGTCTTGCCGCAGCATTCGGTCCTCCTCTCCTTTCGGTCTAGCGACGCTTCTTATGGTCTAGAGTTCATGGGGCTCATGATGATGGGGGATGCCAGACCGGCTTGCTCGGCCTCCCCCGCTTTTCTTGTGACCGCCATCGAAGGCGGCCTCCAGGAGCGCACCGTTGGCAAAGCCCTGGGGGCCGCAGGAGAGGCCACCTCCAAGGCTAGTAGGTCGATCGCCTCGGACACGATGGAATCCTTCCGGCAGCTGCGTGGTGCGACCCGTCACAAGAAGTAAACTGTTGATAGTTCGTCTCGGGTGTTGGTTGCGTCGAAGTTAGAGTGCTAGTAGTAGGAGGGGAGTGATGAATCATATTTATGACATTATTCGGCATCCTTTCAAAACTAGAACTATGCACCACCATTCACATAGCATTTGAAAACAAGTTTTGAAAAAGGCAAAACGGATGTCCCCATTCTTATAATTTATCCTCATCCAATTCAAACAGCAAGTTCAACAATTTGCTTGAGGCACTTCTGATGAATACTCGGAAGGGCTTAGAGTCCGCACTCGATAAATACGTTACCTATTAGCCCTGTGATCAAGGATTGATGGACCAAACTTGAAGTCAAAATCTCTGAAATCGTGAAGTCTCCTAATGTCCATCAATGTTGGATAAACGTTGGAAAGCATCGATTTGAAAGCTGGGCGATTCTAAGAACTCCACGAGGTTGAAGACATCATTGTAATGAACTTTTTCAGCTGAAAAACATATCGTTAGCGCAATTTAAGATCATAGAGACCAGTGACAAATGCTATTATTATCTCTTTTCTGATCCTTTTCGCTACTCTCGAATCTTCCCGAGGCCGATCTGCGATAGCTTTTCACGATAAATCGCGATAGTATGTCGTCGCGGCTCTTTGTTGGCAATCAACATTGTCTTTTGACACCGGGCTCTCAATGGTTGACTCAATTTTGATGTCGCCCATGGCTTTGCCGGCCGTTTCTGGCAATCGCTTTGCACATTCGGCGGTGACAACCGATATAAATAACACGAATACTCCGATCAACGCCAAAGAGTTGCCTTCAGTTATGAAATAGGGACAAGTAAATCCACCCAATCGCCCCATGGCATTTGCTGTTCCGTGCCCTGTGGTACGAATATCCGTTGTCAGTATTTCACTGGTCGAAACCCACGTCGTACACGACCCGCCCATCATTGCCATTCGAGCGACGAATGCTAGTGAAATGAGCAAAGATCGATGGTATTGGTTGTCGTTAGCAGCAAAGGCAATGGCACCATACAGTCCCATCACAAAAGTAGCGATGCCACCAATTCTATACGACATTGTTTGTGATGGAATCCGTCCAAATCGATCCACAGTAGACAGCACTGCCACCAAACCAAAGATTTCAGATGAAGCTGTTATGAATATGGCAGCGAAATCAAAACTGTAGGAAGTTGACATCGACGAATTCGTATCATCATTGCCGTTTCCACCGGTATCGTCGTTCACTACATAAAAGTCATCTTGTTCCTCTATTCTCTCGTTCGTGAAAGCAATCGAAACTGCAATTATAACCCCGTAATATAAAAATCCATTTCCAAACCATGTCGCCCACAACAACAGAGTGAGACGTGTTTGGCTGGGCGTGCTAAATAGCGTTGAGATGTCTCCAGCACCAGCACTGCTTTGCACAGGAGTCTCACTTGTTGGATAACTTTTGTTATCACCGTTGCCCGCCTGGATAGGAGACAGGACCTTTTCAATCGAGGCAACATCGTCCCAGGATATGACCAATCTTGATGTTGGTGGAAACAACCCTTCATCTATGACGTTTTGGCTAATCCCGTTCTTCCGTGCCGCGTCTTTCAATATTTTCAACGCCTTCTCGGATCCGGATTCGTCTTCAGGACGATCCGAGCACTGCTCCAGCAACCATCTTGGTGACTCTGGAACCAACACCATACCTAGAATGGTGCTGGCGAAACAGGGAATGCTGCATAGAATCACGAACAATTGCCAGTTGGTTTCGTCGTCATTCTTGGTAGACGTATCCAGCGTCAAGTAGGCCAGCATTGGAACGCTGAGAGTACCGATCGTCCAGAAAAATTCTGGGAGAAAAGAAACCCAAAAAAATGTAAGGAGATGGCAGCAAATGAATCAAAATGGCGAACGGAGTAGAGAGGAGATTTGAATCGAGACTTCTCTTCTATTCTTACCAATATATAAAAGATTTTTCCCTCTGGACGCAGTCGGCAGACATTCAGACAAGGTGTCAAAGGGCACGGTTAAACCCCCTACACCAAATCCAACGAAGAATCGTGCCGTGACGACTTCCAAGTAGTTCCGACAAAAGGCTGTAGCAATACCCGACAAAGCAATAATGAACGATGTAACGGCAAAGATAGGTCGTCGACCCCATTTGTCGGCTGCCAGACCCAACACCAAAGTTCCCAGCAAGGAACCAGCAAAAACGACCGCCACGATCGAATCTACCTCCCGCTCTGACAAAGCCCACTCGTATTTCAAAACGGTAGACAGAAAACTCAGCAGCAAAACCTCCATGGCATCGGACATGAAACAAAGTCCCGCCGCCAACAGAACTTGGTATTGGAACGCGCCTATTCCTATCTGCTCGATTGCGTCGTCTATTTGGACATAATGCCTGCATTTCTTATTTGTGGGAGGCCGGAGAACTTCGTCTGAAAGAAATTKGGGTCCTTCACTGTTGATGGCACCAGTAGTCATTCTCGTGGCTTGTTTTCGATCCCCCGTGGCATTGGGCACACCATGGCCAAAATCGTTTGTATCAGACATGGCACCATAAGAACGCGGAGATGCAGGGTCGTCTAATCTTTTTGTTGCCAAAATTTGTACTTCTAAGTCCTTATCCATCGCCAAGACGTTCAATAAACGTAATGCAGGTTGGATATCTTAATGTGTTGCAGAGTATCTACGGTCGCACGATTAGAGGCATTCACAGATGTGAGATACGCTTGTTCTTCTTGATACTAAAGTTATGAGAGGGTAGAAAAAATCCGACAAAAAATTCTCCCGTCACTCGCCAAACATCATTGCAATCGTGGTTTCTTCGCGCACACATCGTTTTCTGTTGTGAATTCGTTGCAGGCAATACTTAAAAAAATGAGTACGTAAAGTAATCAGTAATACTGCTAGAATTACAAATTAGGTAGGTTCCTACATACGGTACGAACAGTACAGAACTGCCATGCCATGGTAGTATGGTTCATATGTACGAGTACCGTACGTACGGTACTCGTAGTACTTGTTCGGAACTGTGGAGACCTGAGACTGTGGACTGAATACTGCGCACTCCGGATACAGTATCGTAGGTAGCGTAGCGTACTATGTACTATGGGTACGAACTAAGCGGTAAGCAGTACTATTTTGAATTTTTGATGTGAAAAAGGGATAGTCGGTCTCGCATGATATGATGCTGTAAAAGATTTTCGACAATACGAACCATCGTACGGTACGGTACCGTAATGCGTATTCCGGTTCATGAGAGTGGGTCATCGTTTCTTATTACTCTTATTACGAGTAGGCATAATACTACACTACGGTATACGTAATTTCAATTAACCAAAAAATAACTTTCTTATTAAGTGGTAACTTTTCTGAAAATTCGAAGGACGGAATCTATGGGCGAACTTTCAAAACGAAAAATTCGGTGCTTCTCAACAATTAATCGAGTGTGGGGCACGTGCACGGAGTAAATGTGCCAGAAAAAATGCATGAATCAACATCGAACCAATAGAAACATAAATTATTACTGCATTACGACAAGAAATCCAGACACATCAAAGAAACAGAGAATCGTGAAAACACGATGGATGTAAAGCATTGCTCATTTGGGGCTCCTATCTGAAAAACTGAAGTACATAGGACGTATTTGGGACGAACGATGAAATCCAAAGCACTCGAGACTACGATTGCCAGAGGTGTCATCAGCTCTGCTCCAAGCAGTGCCCCCAAACAGAGGCTGTGTCAACACAAGTTTTACGGGGACTACGTAAATGGATTAGTAAGTATGCCATGGGCAAATGTAGTGATTGAAAGTCGACTCCTTATGTACTGCGCCGAAGTTTGAAACACTGTTGATGTTTTACTAAGTCACTTCCAGATGTTGGGTATAGTTACTCCCTTTTTTGCATGGAAAATAATGATGGAAATGTACGAAGACATGAACCAAAACCACACCGATCCTGAGAGAAATATGCTTTGCAACCTTGATGCTGTCGCAATGTTTGGATTTACGGGTATCTCTGCAATCTCTCAATACTTGGCTTGGACCCACGACAGTTTGCTATGTTCGCGGATAGGTTTTTTGGGAAATTGTATCGCCGGCAGCTACATGGGTGAGTACCGAAGAAATCGAAGCAATATCTTGAGGTCTTCTTTACGTTTGTAGAATGTGCGGTGCAATCCTGTTTCAGATGTAGTCTCATCCCATCACCATCTGTTGTTTGAAAAGTACAGAATTGAAAGAGTGGCCAGTAAAGGGGGTTTGTACTATTACCGCACGATTTCAGGCTGGAATACTAACATTATGTTTGGCTAACATCACACTATCGGTGCGAGAAAAATGCACTCGATTGGTCTTGATGTTCGTAATCGGTTCATACGTTTCTATCAAAAGTCCATACTCGGTATATGCGGAAGACACGTTGCCGAATTTGGGTGGAGCTATTTTGATTGCAATAGTCTTGATCCATATTTTTGAAACTTGCATGATATGGGATGGTGACGATGGCGGATGCGAAAGAAGTGATAACAAAGTGCTTTCTCATAGTAACAGCAATGTTCTGCGATTGCATTTGCAAAAAGATGAGTTCATCATTCATTCGGCAAGATTTGTGATGGCTGCAGTTTACATTCATCATATATTCAAACTTTTTATTGACTTTTTTGCGCACCAGAATAATGATGTTATGGAGGGTATCATAGATCTGGCAAAGTCTACGATGATCGCTGGCATTGGATCAGTTGCCACAGGTGTATTCAAAACAAATATCGATCAGAAGGAGCAACTGGAACTATTGGTTCGGGAAAGGACCCAGGTAATACATTTCAAAACAAAAGAGCTGCGAAGAATTAACGTTGCATTCGAAGCATGCGAAACAGCCATTGCCATCACGGACTCATCGCGAGTAGTGATCTGGGCCAACAATGCATTTGAAAAATTGGCAAAGAGAACGACAACGGTCCAACCGTCTTTGGGAGAACAATCTCGTGTTTCTGCAACATCTGATACTGATGCTCTCAACGAGACATGCAGCAGTGTCGGACGTCAACTGACGGATGTGATTGTCTTGAATGATAGCACCAATGAAACAAAACTCAGGGGTGCCTTTGATTTTTTGTCCCCAAGACACGACGAAATCAATATTATCGGAGATGATTGCACCAATAGTTCCAGAGGGAAAAGTGACTATCGTCTGGAAGTCACTCCTTTTGTGGACTACGATGAAGGTACCAAAACAATATCAAACGATAATGACAACAACCTGTTTTTAGTTGCCTTTCACGACATAACGGCAGATCGTGCCAGAAAACAGGCAGAAAATATGGCCCGGGAAGAGGCCTTGCTTTCCAAAGCAATGAAAGAATCTATGGTTACCCTGACAGTACGTATCAGCGTACTTGAATTTTTCCTCAATGTTTCTTTCTTTCATAGCAATAGTGATTTGAAGCTTACTTCAACCTCGTTCTCTACAAATTTGGTTCGACACCTTCTCAGCATGAACTACGAACACCATTACAAGGGATAATGGGCATTACCAGTTTACTGCTGGAACAAGATCGCGACGCGAAACACTTCAACAAGGACGCGTTAGAATCCTTGGGACTTGTGATGGCATCTTCACGTTTGCTACTGAATCTCATAAACAATCTTTTGGATATAAAAAAAGCTACAGCGAACAGTAAGTTCAATCGAACCGTGCCTATCGGATCTCACGAAAGAATATTCTTCAAAAAGCTATTTCTCACATATAGACTGCATCTGCGTTCTCGTTTTGAATATCATTCTTACTTCTCAAACATTCTACAGTGATGGATGAGTTTCTTCTCACACCTTTATTGGCTACAGACCCGATCCGAGACGCAATTGATTTCTGCAAGCCACTAGCATCCATATCCATGGTGAAAATTGCGATGGAGTGCAGCGATGGTACTGCAGAAGCGTTCGTAAATGCAAATGCTTTACGACTGCAACAAGTGCTCATCAATATAATCTCGAATGCTATAAAATACACCGATCGAGGCACCACAATCCAAGTTCGAACTACTTCGATGTCAATGAAAAATGCGAAAGAGGTCATGGGAAAAGCAATCGCGTGTTCCCATAACGAAGATGAAGCGATTGTGGATGGGAAACCGGTCTTGGTTTTTTCTGTTTCTGATGCAGGGGTTGGTATTGACTCTCATCAGGCGCGACTTCTCTTTCGCCGATTTGCACGATTAGACCTACAACCCATAAATACACTTGGCATCAACACCATTGGACAACCATCTGGAACTGGCCTTGGGCTACATCTTTGTAAAATGTTTGTGCAACGTATGCACGGTTCTTTATGGGCTTCAAACAACGAGGATGGAAAGGGGTCAACATTTTCATTCTGCCTTCCGTTAGTGTCCGCTCTACGTTCAAACCTAGAGGGATGTTCTGCTACAACGATTCCAGATGCAAGAAAGTCTGAAGTATTAGAAAATTCACCGTTAGAATCCCTCTCTTCAAATCAAGACCCAACGATTAGACTTCCTCCTCTTCGCGAAAGCATGGATTTCCGTCGATTCCGCGTTCTGGTCGTAGATGATACGCTGATTAATCGGAAAGTCTTCGATCGTATGCTAAAAAAGATCGGAATCATTCACGTTTGCATGGTCGAATCTGGGGCAGAAGCTCTGGGAGTATTGTTTTCCAATAATCACGATCGACATTATGATGTCGTCATTACCGATCTACAAATGCCAGGCATGTCGGGTACTGAATTGACTAGGGAAATCATAAAGCGAAAACCTGATCCTAGTGGAAGGCCCGTGGTCATTGGACTTACGGCAAACTCCAGTCCAGACGTTGCCGAAAAGTGTGCTGCTAGTGGTATGTCGGATGTCCTGTACAAACCGATCACGCTGACGGAAACTAAGGAGTATTTTCAGAAAGTGATAGGGCAATTGCAACCAGGAATATGGTACAAACACGAGAAAAAGTTTTTATGATTAGCAGCTGTAGCTGTTGATTCAATGACGTATGTCCATCCAAGTAATGGGAGATGTATATGACATGAAGTCTTAAAGAGGTTTAGCTAAGTAAATTACCCTATTGACTAGATAAAAAAGAAAAGAATGAGAACATTTGGTTGTTGTGATGTATCTGGATGTGACATTGTCATCCATCCAGGGTTCACCCCATGTGTTCTCATCCCATCTCATTCTTTCCGATGGTTCTCTTTTACTTGGCTGTCTGTCCCTCAATAGTAGCTGCTACTACTATTAGTACTACTACTACTACTAGCAGGAAAGAATATGATTAAGACATTGAAGATTACTTGGCCAAACAATCATACAACTTTTTCCTGTCTTGTGCTGCCAAATGTTGCCACCCAGACAATTTTGAATTTTTTTCTTACTTTGCTACTACTTCATTGGTAGTATTGTACTTTACTATACATCCCTAACATCACTGAAATGTTAAAAAATATAAATAATGCTATTCACTAAAAAGACATCACTAAACCTGATGGTTGAAGTTACTCCAATGATCTTTGCATACAGCAAGATTGCAACTTCTGCAACCACCGTGTCTTGGTGACATTTTCATACTACTACTAGTAGTAATCCCTGGTGACACCAACTTCCTCAATCTCCTCACTGATGGGTTAGGATATCTATACTTTGCTTCTTCTACACAGACACCAGAATAGTTCCTCTTCACTCCTTCATACTTTCCACTGCATCTTTCTTCATGTGGCTTTGAAGTTACCTTTCCATGAGCAATGGTAGTAGTGGTAATTTTGTTCACAGCACCACAGAAGAAACAAATCCCATAATCACAAGGGTGGTATTTTCCATTCTTTGCAGTCTTTGGCATCCACTCTGGCATACTAGAACCTTCATCATTTGGACATTTCCAGTCCAATCTTCAAACACATACCAGTTGGAATCATTTGCTATCATCATTCAAAGGATTCTTCTTTCAACAAACAAGAACAAGAACAAGAACAAGAACAAGAACAAGAACAAGAACAAGAACAAGAACAAGAACAAGAACAAATGTGTCAATCCTTCTACCTTATTTGTACAGCAATCCAATACACTCCTTACAGTATGGGTGGGACCTGGGGCTGCACCTCCTCCAGGTTATTTATACTGGGCAGAGGGTTCCTCTACATCATCACCCAACTTTGTGCCATTCCATGCCACCATGACACCAATGATGCAAGGTTTGTTGACAATGTTTGACTGTTCTTATCAGCCTCAACACCCTCAAATGAAATGCAAACAACTCTTCCTTCTTGTTGGCAATAATCATGAATGATACTTCTGCTAGCAGTACTACTAGTAGTACTCCTAGACATAGCTGATCTCTCCTCTTGGGTGGACTTGGATCAGTACTGGTGTCTTGTAGTTGTTCAAAGAATATCACAACATTCCTGACACAACAAGGAGATTGATGCTGAGTGATGTTGTTGCATTCTTCTTCAAGAAAGTCATTGTTGTGTGCTTTTCATCACCATCTAAAGACATGTGTGTACCAGCAGGAGGAATTTTACTGGTGGGACTCATGAGAATTGAGGAGTCCTGGAGAATATGTTCGAATTCATCCTGTTCCAGATCAGATGAATCACCACCAGAGAGGTCACGGTCAAGGAGTTCTTGAATTTTGTTGTCAAAGGATCACAGTAGCTACTAGTAAAGGGCATCAGGCAGACTTCCAAGAGAACCATTACTAGTAGTACTACTACTAAATTTGAATCAAATTAAAGGAGCAAAGGTAATCCAATTAAGCATTTTGTGACAACATGAGATACTTGTTGTCAAATGATTAAGACAATTTGTAAAAAAATGAGAAAAAAATGATTGGAATAAAAATTGCTGTCTGTAGGATATCAGACCGTGGGTATGACTTATACATACGACACATACATATGATACTTATCTACAATTCATACACACCATACATATATGACTCACGCGATCCCACTGGATTCATATGATCGACATGACTAATTTCATTCACTTGTTGTGTGAGTGACTTGACTCATTTGATTCACACACCACTCGATCCTCACAGTGATCCATTTTAGATTTCATAGTTTGTTGATCCTTGATAAGAGCATCAACTCACTTTTCTTCTAGCACACACTTTACATCACTTTTAGGACAGTCACTCCCACAGGTTGATAGTATGACCATGAGAATGGCGGGCATTGAACTCCTCATCAGAAACATGTGGTTTGAGAACATGTTCCACAGATAATGGCCTGATATTTTCATACGAGCAGCGCAAAATATGCGCACAAATTTAATTTTATGGACGCGGGAAAAATTCACACCATAATAGTATCAGTTTGTGTGACGTACTAGTACCACCACTGAAAACACTGCTGCCATCTTGGGAGGGGCTCCTACTGCAAGGGTGCAGGCCACCACTGCTGTTGTCAGATAGATCTGCATCACTAGTAGTTACTAGTAGCTAGTAGCTACTACTTTACGGTATGAACAGTTCTTGTCATCACTAGTACTAGTATCAGAAAAAAATCATCATCATCATCCATCAGCACGGTGATATGATTATTTTATGTTGGTAAATATGATGATGGTTTGGGTGATAGTTTGTATTCTGGTTTGGAGTTTTTTTTAATTTCTTGCTTGGATATTACAAGGAGTGAAATGAATGAGCAGAAAAGATGTTTAATGCATGCGAAGTACAGAATTTTTTTAAAACTGTTTTGGGTAGTTCAGTCTTATTTTGTGTTGGATTTGTACTGCAGTCTACACAGGTGAACATTGTGGAAACTGCAAGAAAAAATTCCAAAAATGCACGATTTGGGCGGAGACGGCAAAAAATGTTCCTTTTCGAACTTATCGCATGGAGTGAATAGAAAAAGTACGAATAACGGCAAGATACAGCAGTAAAGAGTGAAGGGCAGAGATGCGATGAGTGCCCGTTGCGTTCTACTTTTATCACGGAGTACATGTAGTACTCGTACTCGTACTTACTCGTACAGACTTCTATCTGGGTCCCGTAGCGTTGCGTAGGTAGTACTGTATTCTTTTGTTTACCAGTACGATGTGCGTACCTACTACTCGTACGGGAATACGATACATCCAGTTAGTTGTGCTCTACCGGTACAGTAGTACTCAGCGTAGGGTGCCATATGTACCCCGCATTACAATGCTTCTAATAATTATGACCGATGACTTCAAAAAAATACTGTACCGTACGTATTCGTACCGTACAGACTCGCACTTGAAGGAAGAAACCATAGAAACTTGTGAGAAGTAGCGGTACGAGTACGAGCCGAGCCGTTACGTTTCATCGTTGTAGGTATTGTTTTTGAATACTGTAGCCGTCTGTCAACAAAAGGTCTGCCGGATAACGAAGACATTGACTCCTCGTAGATAGCATCGAAAGAGAGGTGCTTACGATCGATACGGAACTGAAAGAGAAGACCATTGATACAGTTCAGCAGCCATATCTATTTTTCCAAAAAACATGAAAATGATGTTCTCGTTATCATCATCGTTACCGTCCACCAAGTCCCATCTGTTGGTTTTTGGTTTGATGCTATGCGGATTGAAATCGATCCAAACATCAAGTGCATCGAAGCTTGAAATTGTTACATCCATCCAGGATGACCTGGAATTTGACGAGAACAACAAATTGTCAAAGCATTACGTTGTCTTTCCAGCCAACCGCCCAGATTGCGCGACTAACTTGTGGGAAACCGGAGAAGAAGAAACCAGCTACGGTTTCGCAGCACACCCGATTGAGGGCGATGCTCTTGCAAAGGTCTTCCCGGATGCAGAGGAAGAGAAGAACGAATGCATGGCTGCATGCCTCGAAAGAGGTACAGATGTTTCTCTTGCCGGTCACACTATGCCTCAATTCCATTATAGATCAGGGGGGCTCACAAAAGGTGCCGTTCAAGCAAAGCATTTTCGAAGCTGGTTTAATCAACATTGCCTCAAAGTCGAGATTTGTTTCATAAATTACTACGTTGAGGAGCGACCCCTGAAAGTATACTGGATCCATCCTACAACCGGCGAAAGGTTACATCGGTTTGACTTGAAGTACTCGGAGAGGAACACGAATTGTTTCAGTTCTTTTTTGGGACACAGGCTTGAGGCAATCGACGAAGAAAGTGGGTTCCGCGAAGAGTACGTGGCTGAGTACACAGCGACAAAGGCATTTGGGACCTCACCGCCGTCTTCTTCCCAGAAATTCGACGGCATCGAGGAGGTGGAGAAAACGGTAAAAAATGCCCTGGACCATGAATGGTCGCGGCACAACATGGTGGAGAGAACCTTCAGCTCATTGGGATTCGCAAAGGGAAGATTGGACGACGATATCTTTGCCAACATGGGTGCGTTTTACTACAACAACCGCAACAATGCCGTCAACGAAGAATGGACAGGAAAGGGCGTGTTCGTAAACTGGTGGGAAACCGACGTTAGATTCGTGTCAATCCCCTGGCACACAAAGCGGGTGTGGCAGGATCGCCTGAACACAATGGTGTCCAAGTGGGCCGGCGTCGAGATCGAGGAAACGAGCATGTACGGATTGCGCCAATACGAAGAGGGTGCCCGTCTTTTGAGCCACGTAGACCGGATACCAACTCACGCTGTCAGCCTTATCGTGAACATTGCCCAGAACAACCTTGCGAGTCCCTGGCCCGTCGAGGTATTCGACCACGGAGATCGACTCCACGAGGTCACCATGGAGCCCGGTGACATTGTCTACTACGAGTCGGCGAAGAACCTCCACAGCCGCAACAGGCCGCTGACGTGCAAGCAGGGCGGCTGCCAGTACGTCAATCTCTTCACGCACTACCGCCCGGTGGGGGACGGAGACCGGTGGCACAGGAACTTGTCGGACATGCCGAACCGCCCGCCGCCCCTGTCGAACGGAGCCAGCGAGTACGACCACGGGAAGAGCTCCTGCAGGTTGCCCGAGGGACAGCAAGCGCAGCACGAGAACAACACTTTGGACAACCACCTGGGGGTCGGCACGGTCGAGTGCGAGGACCGCCGGCTCGGATCCTACATGTCGCCAACGCTGTACAGGCTGAATTCCGGCAGAGACCTCTTCCGCTGGTGGAAGGCGACCGCGGATCCGAATTTCAGCGGATTCGACGATCCAGACGGCACGGACGACGCATACGATGCCTACGAATTGCAAGGAGACGAAAAAGAGGAATCATTCAACGACGACGTACTTGACGACGACGGAGTGTACGACGAAGAAGAGGACGGGGAGTACGACGAAGAATACGAGGAGGATGAGGCCGAGGACGGCAACGACGAATTGTAATGGGTCAAAAGTGACGGAAAACAAATACCAGCGGGGCCAAATCGAACGATTACTTAGAAAGAAGGGTCGTGCCTCTTTCGAAAGATGCGATAACCGATACAAACGCTTTGCACTTGAATTTTAGGCTCTTTGTTCACAATGTTTTGTTCGGCTTCCGGAGTGAACCATCGTTGAACGTACAGCCAAGTTTGGTGTTGTGCGCTATGCACCCTACAGCTAAAATAAGTAACACTTCCTGAAAACAATCACTGTCATAATAATGCTACTACTAGTAAGGTACGTGCCCTCGTCCCGCGCGGGGATCCCATCCCGTCCCGTTCCTTCGATGGACGCCCCACCTTTCGTTGGATTTGATTTCGTTCTCTAGGCCCTTTGGCGTCGAAAGATCAAGCTGTTGTTGTTCGATGGCATGTCGATGCATTCCACCAATTCCAGTCCCTCCTTGCGGGCGGCGTCGATCACGTCGTTCAGGTCGCGGACGCCCCATTCCGGGTTTCGCGATTTCAGGCTCCTGTCAAAGTTTCTGCGTCCCAAACGAACAAAGGAAGACGAGAGAGGCGGTGCAAGCAAGCAACCAAAGTGAGCGAAGCGTCGGCAAACACCGGACAAAAACACGGCACGGCACGGCACGGCACAAGAATCCGTCCATCCATCCATCGACCCCCCGGCGCGTTTGGGTGCGCATTCCAGGCGCGGCCTTGCCCGGCCAGAACCTCTTGCCGCGCACCAAGCCACCGGTCCGGTCCGGTACTTTACTTACTCGTTGGAAAGGACGGTTCTGCCCTCGTGCCGGTAGGGACCGTAGCAATAGAGGCAGCCGCCGCGAAGCCGCAGGCGCTCCCCGGCCAGCTTCATCAGCCCGAGGGTCGCCCCCCACGGCGAGATGTGGATCATGTTGATGCACAGAACGAGGTCGAGGGGTTCGTCCCCCCTTGAAAGGAAGGAGGGCACAAGGGAGGATGCCTCGATCCCGCCTTCGCCGAGTGTGAGGAGCTCGGGGGGAGCCACCACCTTTTCCAGGCCGGGGGAGGATGCCACCCGGGAACGGACCGACGCCAGGGAGGCGTCCTCCGGATCGGTGGCGTGCCAAACAAAGGGAGGGGGGGAATCGCCTCCTTCGGAAGAAGCCTTGTCGGCGTCGTGTTCGAGCGACGAGAGCCACCGGCTCGCAAAGCACTCCGTGTGGACCCCGGCACCGGCCGCGACCTCCAGGACGGTCCACGGATGGTTTCCCTCGTTCCCCCGGCGGAGGATCCGGGACGAGAGGACCCCCCAGATCGGGTCCTTGTTGCGTTCCGCGGAGGGCGATTCCAGGCGTGAAGTTGCCACGGAAAAGGCCGTCGGCGCGTCGCGGCCGGTGCCCTCGCTCCCGGGAGGCATCGGTGGGGTGGCGGAAGCGCTCGTGGCGCTGCCGGTGGTGCCGCAGCCGGTGCCGGCCCTCCGTGTCCTTCCGGCAGCGGCCGGAAAGCCAACGGTGCTTGGGTCCCTCCGTTGGGTTTGGTCCTTTGGAAAGCCTTTCGCGGTCGCAAAAGCGAGGGCTCGCGAGTTTGTTGTTGTTGCCGCCGCCGGCGTCGATGCTGCGAGGGCCGCGCACAGGGCCAGCAACCCTTTGGTCCGAGGGGCGGGCCGTTTGGTTCTCGGTGGTGCGGCTGCCGCTGCCGCTCTTCTTCTTGCCGCTGCCGTAGCTATTGTTGTGTTTCGTGCCGGACGGACCACCGCTCGGCCCGGGACCATGCCTCTCCGATCCGATCCAAATCCAATCCAATCCGAATCCAGAATGCCCGAGGTATTTCTGTCGGGACAAACCAGAAGAATATCAAAGAATGACGCCAGGATGTTTCTCCCGTGCCGACATCSGAAAAATGGCCTCATTGCGTCGTTCCTCCTGATCGGCCGGACGTCCTASGGTGCAGTACTGATTCTACTGTAAAGATACACACAACGATCCGCGCAGCATGTTGTTGTTGAATGCGGAACTTCGTACTGGTAGTACGAGTACTGGTACGAGAGTACGATCACCTCAAAATAATCCTACCGTACTACTGCGAGTAAACGCACTGTATCAATCGAATGAATCAATCGGGCATCGATTCAACGAAATCTCTCGAAAAAACGATCCATCCGCAWGTTCGTCCCGTGATTGATTTGTGAAGCGATCTGATTGGCCTGTTTCTCTTCCTTGCGCATCCATCTGCTTTTGGTGACAACATCTCATTTTTGGTTGTGTCTTTCCGTRGAGAGAAACTGCGAACCGGATTGGTTCTTTCTGCGCTGCCGATAGGCCGAGGCTACAGTACCAGTACGCACAACACCATACAGTAGTCTACGCAACACTAGGAACCGTASGTGCCGTTGTTCCCCGTTACGTTACTCGATCGACACATCTTCTTCTTCTTTTGCCGTCGTATGTAGTGTCCACGTACGGTACCGTAGGGTCCCGTATGGGGGCAATAATAAGAAACTGTCTCGTACCGGTAGAAGGAAGAACACGAATTGAACTCCATCTCGTAGACCCTCTGTAAGTAAGTAGGGTACTGTACAGTAATGTACAAAGCACTACGTTCAGTACAGCACGCTACAAAACAATACCGTATGGCACGGAACTGAGTGCAAGACATGGATGAAGGAGGAGGGTTCTCCCTGTGTGTCATCTTCCGTCCCGGGAAGCAGATGGTACGGTACTGTAAGACTGTAAGACTGGAACGGAACGGAACGGGGGGAGCGGCGATCCATCCGTTCGCAACCATCGACTCATAAATTGACGCCATTGACGCCATTGACGTTTTTGTGGGAACCGGAGCAGCAGCGGCACCACAACACGAACGACCTTGCCAGAAATCGTCCCTGCACCCCGTTACCCACAACGCAGCAACGCACCGATCGATTCGATTCGATTTCATTCGATTCGATTGTGCACTCGTTCTAGAAGGAAAGAAAGCAAATAAAAAAGAAAGCATCGAAAAAAGAAAGCAAACAAGCCACAAAGCGTGGGGCAACACCTCCCTCTCTGTTTCGCAGCTCTGTCGCTCGTCGAAGGATGGAACCGGCAGAGAGATCCCGCGGCGGTTCGATGGGGCCCTTGCATCGCCACCGGCGCAACCGCCCGTGCACACAAGAACACGCACACATGCCTATCATGCATGCACGGTTGCTGGCACAAACCCAAGCGCGTTCGGCCACACAGTTTCGCCGGCACCGTCTCTGGCCCCGAGGGGAGGCGTCTCGCCCGTGGCCCAGTGACGAATCCGCACCCGAATCCGTGTGTCCCGAGGAATGCGACGACTGCGAATGCCAATGCGACGGCTGCGAGTGCGACGGCGAGTGCGACGACGAGTGCGACGAGTGCGACGACGAGTGCGACGACGAGTGCGACGACGCGTGCGACTGCTGCGACGACGAGACGAACGCCTCGGACGACGGGGCCTACGACTCGCACGACGACGAGGCGCTGCGGCTGCACCGGCAGCAGCTGTATTGCCTGCGGATGCGGCGGTTGTTCGTCCGCCCCTTTGTGGTCTTTTTCCTGGGGCTGCTGGTCTTTCGCGGCGGCAGCAGGAGCGCTCAAGGGTTCTTCCGGAAGCGATTCGGTGGGACGGGAGCTGCGGTGGGCAYGGACTTGCACGCGAACGTTGACCCGAGCGTGGATGGGGATGCGGGCGTGGTTTTGGATGGGAATGCGGGGATCGATGCGTTCGGGGATGCGGACAACAGAATCAGCAAAAGGACCAGCAGCAACGGCAACAGCGGCCTGAGCGACCTTAGGAATTATTCTCGGATGGTTCTCCGAGGACACCAATCGCAACAACGCCAGGAAAACCGGCAACGCGACCATCTTCCCGAAGACGAAGAGGGCGAACACCTTTTTTTGTCCACGGATGCCGCGGGAATGAAACCATCGCCGGCCGCAGACCGAATCGCAGACCGAATCGCAGACCGAACCATAGGCCAAACCGAACCAAAGGGAACACGGACCGGGGAGGGGCCGGAGCCCGGCAACGAGCCACACGGCAGCAGCATCCCCCGAGGCATGCCATTGATGGCGTCGTATCCGATCTTTAACAGCCAGATGTCTCCCATTTCCTACTCTAGCATGGTCCGMAGAAACAGTGGCAACGACGGCCAGAACGACAGCGACAACAACGACGACGGCAGCGACACCGCGAAAAACAACAAGAACAACGACAATCCCGACGACTATGGATGGGTGCCCCAGGCGTACCCGGATCCCTTGACCGACCCCGTCCGCTGCGGGATTGCCTACCTCACGGCGGAGGAGCTCCAGAGCCGCGAGGGGGTGGCCGCGACCGGGGTCGACGCCGAGGAAGAACGCCGGGGCGGCGTCGTGGCCACAACGCCCGCTTCCGAAAACGGAAGGGCCGGGGCGGGGCTCCGGCTGTGCGATCCGGACTGGGTCCTGGGAGGGGTCTACCTCGAACGGATCGCCAAGCGGATGCAGGGCTTTCCCTTTCGGTTCACCACCGGGACGACGGGTGGCTTTGGTGCCAGCGGAGGCGGAAACGGAGACGGAGAGAACGAAAGCCCCAGCGAACACCATTCCGAGAACGACGGGCAGCAGACGGAACCGCTGTGGCCACGCGAAGTCAGAGTATCCCTGGCCGTGGCAACGGTTCGAAAGGTGCGTGCGGAGTTGTCMTTTGGTTTGCCGTGCTTTCTTTGCGCTCTTTTTTGGGAAATGCATGGCTCGGTCGTGTCGTACCGTAGGACGCGGTCTGGCCAGTTTGGGTGTGGTGTGGTGTGGTGTGGTGTGGTTGTGCCGTGCGCCTTCAAGTCGATCCCTCGCAAAATGCACAATCGGTTCGACTCAACTTTTTCCTTTCTCCACTTTGCCCAAATCAGATGAACACCCATGCCGTTTTGCGACAAGAACAAGTGTTTTACCCATACGGAGACGACGAYGACATGGTCAACGATGCCGCGCAGATATTTGCTCGATCCTTGCACAACGAATGGTGGAAGAACCGCAACARCCATCGGGACGAAACCGACGGCTCGGAGGAAGCAACGGATGGCGATGCTTCGGTCTTCACGGGGGGCTGGGACAACTCCAAGAATTCGGCGTCGGTCRGCGACAAACGAAGCAACAATCGAGACTTTGGCGTTTTGATATTTCTCTCGATCCAGGACCGCGTGTGCTTCATTTCCACCGGCAACGCCATTTCKAAYGTGCTGCCGTGGTGGCGCCTCGAGCACATCGTGGCGAGCATGAAACCCGATCTGAGACACCGGGACTACGGAAACGCCATCCTGACCGCGATCGACGACCTCTCMGAAATGCTCGAGGCCGGCCCGCCGACGGTCCGGGACCGGATGCACGATTTCATGGCGCGCTTTGGAGTGGTCATTGCCTTTGCCCTCTTCACCTTTGTCTTTGGGGCGTGGGGGGAATGCCGGGACCGGCAGAAACGCTTTCAGTACGCCGAGCTGCGGAGCCAGCTGAACGAGGTGGAGCRCGAAAAGGCAAGGCTGAGRCAGAAGCAGTTTCAGACCACCTCGTGCCCGATTTGCCTGGAGCCGTTCGCGCGCGGGGGAGAGGACGACGAGACCACCGTGGGCACCGACGAGGATACCCTGGGCGACCAGACCAAGGACGCGAGCCGGTCGGAACGAAAGGGGATGTCGCGGGTGGACAGCTACGGAATYCCGCTCAACGGAGCCGATCGGAAGAAAATAAAGTTTCTCCGGTGCGGCCACATATTCTGTGAATCCTGCTGGAAGAGCTGGATTCGCTCCGGGCACGGGAATCCCTGCATCTGTCCGGTCTGCCGCCAGGACGTGGGCAGGTCTTCCTCCAAGAGCAAGCGGCGAAAGGAGCAGCGGCGTGCCGCCAGGAGAGCCCGGGTCGACATTGCTACYGCCCTGGCGATGGAGGAGGAAGGGACCCCGCTGCTGGCCAGCGACCGACACGATTCCCTCGGAGAGGGTGGATTCGGAACCCGCTCGCAGCCGCCGTCGTACGGGGCGCTGACCACRTCCTCTCTGRATTCCCCATCGGCCCCCGCGGTGGCGTCCCCCGTCGCTCCCGGGCCCTCTTCGTTCGGGGCTGCCCGGGGACGCGCCGGGCACGACGAGAACAGCGCGTTGCTGGTCCGGGGTGCCACCCTGTGGGCGTCGGCCTTTGGACCCGGGCCCAGCATCGCCACCATGAACAGAGACCGGAGCGGCGGGAGCAGCAGCAGCAGCACCGCCACCTACCCAGACGCCCTTCACCACGAACGACGCGAGGACCGAAGGCGAAGAAAYCTTACCTTTCGGTAAGCAGAGGAAAGAAACAAAAAGGCAAGCAAGCAGCGAGTCKAAYGGAAACRAGAGGAAACGAACGCATCGGCATCTCGGGCACGACGGCTACGGTGATTGCAAGGAGAGKAGAATAGCGATGGCGGACATTGGTGGTTCCCAACCATATTTACGTTCCCAAATTGTTGTATGTTGATTACAGTGTAGAAGCAAGCAAACATAGATTACCAAGTGTATAGATATCAATATATTTTTCTAYCGAAACCACCGAACAAARTCGCTGAGATACTGGGAGGGTATCGTYTGTTGTTGTTTTCAAAATCCAATTTCGTTCCYATCGCAAAGGTAATTCCAGGTTTTCCCGGCACCGATGCCGTACAAGTACCGTAGGTACCGTACTGTACATTACAGGGGAACTCGGGACTACTTTAGTTTTGCTATCTGTATGTATGAACATACGAGTACATAATTGACGAAGTATGTAYGTACGAGTATCTCGTACGCTTTAGAGTACCGGAACGATCTGATACGGTGCACAACACACGAATCATCGTCATTCAAAAACAAAAAAGAATCGGAGAGCAAGATTTTGGTGGGAGAGACATCAGTTGTTCTGACAGCGCTCTTTTCGAAAGAAGATCTCGGGAGATTTTCAACGCACCCATGTACAGAGAGTGGTATCGGCACGTGCTAAAACCGTAAGAACTTGTACCGTATTGTACGACAAGAAGACAGCAATCGTCATTGTATCACAACAACACGAAAAAAAGAACATTAGAACAAACAACAACAACAACAACAACAACAACAACAACAACAACAACAACAACAACAACGTCGCCGCAACAATGAAAGCCTTCCTTGCATTCTCCCTCCTAGCATCTGTATCGGCCGTACACTACGAGAGCCCACCCTGCGGTTCCGACGAAAAAGCCATCCAGGTGATGGGGATTGACGGAGTTTTCTGCTCCCCCGAGTGCACCCCGGAGTGTCCCACGGATGTCCCCGAAGGCGTCACCGCGGTGAGTAGTACCGGGGCGCATCGTGCCGGGACGCAAAACAGCGCACGACCGTGGCTGATTGCCCGCAACTGTTGGGTCTTGCTGCTGCTGCTGCTGCTGTCGCCCGGAATATGGCAACACACGACACATTCCAACCCGACTCGGCTCGGCTCGGCTCCCGTTCTCTCTCTCTCACTCACCGTGCCTGTTCTCTCTGCCGTTTCGCTTGCTCTTGTTTCCCGCTTCTTGGCATTCGATGCTTTCCGATGCGATCCGATTGAATTCAATTCGGAACAACACCAACCAGGCCCCCACGTGTGCCCTGCAAKCCCCGACGGGGGATAAGTACTGCGCAATTCTTTGCAAACCAGGCGGTCTGGGGGGCGGCGATTGCGGCCCCTCGATGAACTGCGCTCCGGTTCCCGGTGCCGATGGCTTTGGCCTCTGCGTGTACCCGGTTGCGGACGATCGATCGCCGGGCGTCTTTCTTCGRTCGGCGGAAAACAAGAGAATGGTCGCCGCSGCCTTTTCTCCCCTCGCCGATACGGCGGCGTCCTCTGCCTAGACRTCGCTCGYTCGGCAGCGGCTCGCTGCGACACAATGCTGTAGAACGGATATTGATCGGACGAGCCGGTYACCCGGGCGCAGAAGCCRTGAGTGACGAATATCAAGCCGTGGTATCAATGCAGAATGGGCCTCGAAATCAATGGGTTTTATAGTATTTCTTTTTAAATTACTTTTGCAACTCTTTTGTTTGCAAAAGCGCCTATCGACCGAGAGGGATGTGTCAGCTAGAGAAGAACTGCAATCAAGTAGTTCTTTATGAGACATGGAAGTTTTTTAGCACTGTTTTTAAATTGGTTTGATCCTTGCAAAAAAGAACGAATGTAGATAGAGTGCCACGCACTCCAAGAATCTTGAGTCACTTGGCGCTTTGGTATTTACTAGAAACTRCTWGTTCTGCTGCATGGCTGCCAACCCACCTTTCCATCACCATGGCAATGTGCCAAACAAGAATAACAAGGAATGCAATCACCGTGGAACCAACAAGAATGCTCCTCTTGTTGAGGTTTTAAGACCAGGAATTAGCTACCCGCTCGCAACACTATCAGTTTGATGTCCCAGCAGCTGGTTGTGGTAACATCTGGTATTTACACGTTACACTACTAGTGAACTCACCAAACTATCGTCCCAGGATGCAAATAGCTTTTGCTCCCATGATTGAAAAGATACCTACGGTATCATCAAACTATCGAACTGTTGGAATTCCTCATGGGATTCAAAAGGGGTTCCCTCTCAAATTGTTTTGAAAATTCCCCCCAAGTATTAAACGACGTCCGCGTTTGTCGTACCAAATCCCTGTAGTCCTGCATGAAGGCAGACATGCTCGGAACGCGGAGGTAGTACGGCGCGAAGAAAAATTTGAATTTTTCATTTTTTGGTTCGGAACGAACTGTACCGGTACGAGTATGATGAACTACGAGAGAACGTACCGTACGTAGATGTAATTTGTGCCGATTACACAGAATCGGAGACGACTATCAATCTCATCCCATACACCTTCCTCGTCGGAATCACACAGCTGAGGGACGTGCAACGAGATCAAACCATTCTGTTATGAGCCAACCCATAAATCCGCCCTCGCCAACAACTGGGTACACCCACGTTCCCCCCTCTCCCCCGGCATCCAAGCCGAAGAATGGCGGTGGCGATTCAACGGTCGCAGSGAGAACAATTTCCACATCGCGAAAAATGATGGTTGGGGCGATCGGCGTGCTGTCGATCTTTGTTCTGGTCCAAACCTATTTCTACACGTACGATAGCCCCGRAGATATTGTCGCTGCGGCGCATGCTTCGACGTCCACTGCAGTAACGATTGGTGGTGCTTTGTACCGTGATTCGGAGGTCGAACCCAAACATTCCTGGATGGACAAKATAGTCTTTCACCGGTCCAGTCTTGCGGGCGTGTCCCACGAGCTTAAACGTAGAAAGCAGRGAAGAGATAGAAAAAATAACATAACGACCAAGGGGCACAAGGAAAAGAATACGAAGGCTGCAGYAGCAAACKACGCGAACGACGACATTGGTGATTATAGCAGCATGATGGAAGATATCTCCGTCCTCTACGATGCCGTCGCACAGACCGTTCGTGACATTGGGGTTCGCGGGCTGTTGTTTGAGGTTTTGTCCGACGACTTCGAGTACTACGTTTACAACGATGAAAGCAACAGCAGCGACGAAACCGGCGACGACGACTCGTCCTCCGATTCCKTGGACGAGCTGCACACCTATTGGCGGAAATGCAGTTCGAAACACGGGGTTGGAAAGGATTGCAACGAATGGGACGTGTGGTGGACATATCACTATGTAGGAATCGTCATCACCGATATGTTGSTGCAAGASAATGAGTTGCTGTGGGACGGATCTTCTGGGGAAAAGATCACGGCAGCCAGTGCTGGCCCCGACGACCAAGACACGAGCATGGCAACATTGCTGGACAAGATCCACCACCTGCAAGCGACGCTGCCATACCTTACCCAGGCCAGCTTCCACRCACAGCAYGCGCTGATATGGCGGTACGTCGAGCGGTCGTCCGGGCGATTGTCTTCCTCGTATCCGTGGGACGTGTCGATCCGGTTTTGCCGCGGGGATGGATCGCGAGAAAAGGGGATTGTCGGCCGTCCGGTCGGGAAGGGCATTGACCACGAATGTTTTCACGGGTTTGGCCACGCCATGTTTTATGCCGTAGCGGCGAAGCAGATAAGGCAACGGCGGCACGAGAAGCAGCATAGAAGAGCCACAAAGTCGAAAAACAAAGACGAGGGAAGAGAACCTTTCTTGGTGCTGGCTCCACACAGTGGTTTTACGTTGTCTCAGAAATCCTATTGCGAGGTTTACGAACTGTGCCGGGGCGCATCTCCAACGAAAGAGGAACGGCGTGCTATGGATCCTAACGRCGAAGCGAGAGCAAATTCGTACAGGATATGTTTCGAAGGTGTGGTACACTCCGTTCGATTGATGTCGGAGGATTCCAAGATGACCCACAAACAAAGTGCAATTGACATAGTGGACAAGGAGATGAAGCGGTGTGCATCGGCGAAGAAAAAGAAGACAAAGAAAAAAGGCCACGACAACGAAAGGAGGTAGATAGAAACCAAGATGAAACGCTAAAAAAATAGGTGGGACCATTTGCTCGTTTTACAGTACTACGAAAAATACAACTCGTACATTTTTGGATGCTGGATTGCCAAACGAATTATTCAACTGAAGTTTACCACTATTACTGCCTTTGGTTCGATTAAAATGAAAACAGAGCCTTAATTTGGGGACTTTATCGTTTGTTTGTTCCTCTCGCCACTTGCGTCGTCGTATCTTTGTCCTTTCTCCATCAACAATCAACTCGCACAGCAAGGTTTTGACTTTCAACTCCCCAGTCCATCAAGCTCCAATAAATTTCCAGTTGATGAAACGATGTATGAAGGGGATATCAATTGGAAGTCCTTCCTCTACTAGACTATATTATGAGTCAACTACTATGACCTTTATCCTGGCCCAAAAAGAGAGCCAGCCACCACTTTCCTGATATTTCGATCTACCAAATGACTTCTTCAAAATACCAAAAATTTATATAGGGGCAGAAACACAAACTAGTAATGATATACTTACCTCTAGTACTACTACCACTACTTAATACTACTAGTAAGAAGCCACCAAAAAAGTGGTGGTGGTGGTGGTGGTGGTGGTGCTGCTGCTGCTGGTGGTGGTGGTACGGTATATAGTACTAGTAGTAATTTCAAGATCTAGTACTACTACTACTAGTAGTAGTAGTATTACAACCCTACTACAGGAGTAGAAGCCATGCTAATCAAACAGGAGTAATTCATACTATATCTGTTGGATTGTTTTGTTATGTGAAGTGAATTGTTGAAACTACTATCTGAACATGGATGCAACTGTTTCATCAGTTAAGGTTGATCTGATGTAACTCGGACACCTAAATAGTTCGCAAAAAGGACGATTTTTTGTTCCGTTCAATTACTACGAACCGGTATTAATGCCAGCCGACGTGAAGCTACACAACCTTGATTCAAACTGTGACTGCTATCAGTGACCATATACTGTGTCCTCGGAGGCAGCCAGTACTCGCCCTGCAGCCCTRCACGATCCAACCTCATCGCGAGAGCCTGTCCCTGTCTCTCTCATCTTAACGATTTTTGAAGTGATTCGCGTGAACAGAAAACGAGACCAAGGATCGAGAATGATTCGTCGTCGTCCCCAAAATTCTMTTTCTRAAACGACGGATTCCACCAATGGCAGCAAAACAGAGAGTGCAAGTAATGGTGCTACGAGAAGAAGCCCTGATCAAAGCKCATGTCATCGATTTCTGTCTTCTAAGCTGCTTCAGGCAGCAACCTTGGCGGCATGCATTATTGTTCTCTTCGAGACCGCGAATTACCTTGATTCCGTCTACACAATAAACACTAGTTACAAACCGAACAACATGATTGATGGGACGGAACGAAATATAATYGGCGCGGCTAATAARAATGATCATGGGGCGAAGGTAGCTGGAACGACTGACAGCCGCGTTCGTGCCCTCAGCATCAGTGACATTCCAGATGTTCGGCACGAGGCTGGTGCKTTTAAAGCCATCAAGGCGCGGTTTGATTATGCTACCAGTATTGGTCAGTCGGAAAATCGAAACAATTTCAACAACACTTCTGGCCAATACTTGCTGGATTTTGGAATCATTGGYTTTCCGAAATGTGGCACGACGACGATGAGTAAGTTACCAGTTAGTGTTTCATCTGCATTTTATTGAAGAGGTTCTAGATACATCGGGGGAAGAGACAAAGATCCACGGGCGCAAGTCCCTTTGCCTAGTACACTAATAGCGCTCGAAAACCAAATCTTGTTACAACGTAAACAATTGTCGAACCTGGTAACTCCGAAACCCTCTTTCACRCTCCATTCCGAAACGAAACAGTGAAATGGTTGAATATGCACGAGCACATGGCGGTCCTAGATTTTGAAATCACGGCGCTTCAAAAAAATCATCCTGCTCGCATTCTCAACTACATGATACGCGACTTACCCGAGGGGAGGTTTCGGAGGGGGTACAAGAGTCCTACCGACGTTGAAGACGGTCGTGCTCGTAACAAGCTGGGGGTTCATTATGGCAAAACGAAATTGTTGGTGGGGTTGCGTCATCCAGTCTTGTGGTTCGAATCCTTTTACAACCACCGGGTCCAGAACGGCTACGAGATGCCCGATATTTTGGAAGTTATCCGCGACAGAGGCCGTAGGGTGCTTTTGAACGAATGCCCGGGGAATTTCAGAGGAGTTTGTTTCAGCCGTGCCAATTTTCATCATGCCCTGGCCAAGTGGGGTAAGACCCCACTGTTATTCTTGCCAGGCAACGATACCGACAAACGATTCGGTTATACAAACTACGACAACGATCGGGAATTCTCRCTTTTTACCGGCAAAAGCAAGCAGAATTTGCTAAAGGATATGAACAAYACGGATGTTTCTCCRAACCCAATGTTCTTGTATGATGTCAACCAATTGCGAATGCCACCTTCGGTGATGGATGGCAATGACAAAGGTGCCATCGAACAAGAACGCGTTTATGACGACTTTGTGTTGAACTTGCAAGGCTTTCTAAATGTCCCACAAAATGTRTCGGCCATGCCAACCATGATAAAAGAAAAGCCGGGCAAGACAAAGGGGATCGACGCCTCAGAGCAGCTGCGGCGTGACGGTTTGAAGATTGATATGTGCGACGAAAAATTCGCGATGCCCCGAAAGTGGCTGCTCGAAATAGGTGCGAATGTCCACCTGTGGATCCGGGATTATTTTTCGAAAAGCCCCCACAATGTGTTTGCCGGTGGAAGCAGAGGGAGTCCATCRGCGTCGCAATTTWTGACCATACTACAATCCTATGCAGAAGATCCTTGCCCAGAACGAGTGCAAAAACGAAAACAGCTAGAAMAGAACTGAAAGAAAAGGCGGCGCACARTGTAGCKGTGACGAGCACGCAGGAAATGATTATGCGTGTAGTGTTTGTTGTTTGGAACTTAGATCGATCCTTTTCGCCAGTGCTATCCAGATCGGTGTTGTCACTATCAAACCTTCCTTGATTTTCGGCACCCGTTCACCTTTGCAATGAAAGGAGACTATTAATGCAAACTCGCATTGCACCAATCYGRACCATGTTCATGAGGGGACATTYTCCCCACCCGAATCTGGTTGTACCGCTCTCTAAGTTTCTTTACTACTTCTGTCATTTTGTTTYTGGTGGTGTCATTGTGCAACAGATCGTTCAGCTCGTACGGATCGCTTGTCAGATCAAACAATTGTTCGTAGTTCTGTTGTTGCCAGTCGATGTATTTGTACTGCTGATCTATGAGCGCAAACACTCGGTGAATGTCTGTGTTATGGTACTCGTACACAAACTCGGTTCGCCAGGGCTCGCGSTCGACCGGCGACGTAGCCAGCTCTTTTGGCAGGTATATATCTGCCAAGTCTCTTCCCTGCATCCCGGGAGCTGATTCGATGTTGGCAGCCCCCAATATAGTCGACGCCAAATCTACGTTGAGGGACATGCTGTCTTCGAGTCTCCCTCGCTGTTCCTTGGGCAGACGCGGATCATGGATTATGAGCGGTACCCGAATGGAATCTTCGTAGGGAATCCATTTGCCACCAAGGCCATGGGATCCCATCATCAAGCCATTGTCCGAAGTGAAGATTATCATCGTATTTTCGTACAGTCCTTCGCTTTTTAGCACGTCAATGATTTTCTGGCAGGCAGCATCGACTTCTGTCACCAAAGCGTGGTAGTTGCGCATCCCCATGTTGTACTGATCCGTCGTCTTCCACCGCGACTCGAAACGCGAACTGACAATGCCTCGTTTCAAAAAACCTGGCAAGTTGTTGTGTACTTGCTCCACGTCGTAGGGGCGTTTGTACGTTCGGTTGGCGTATAACTCCATGGTTTCCTGTTTGGGAGACCATTGTTCACCCGGTTCATACGAGTTGCCGATGGCTTTGGGGGGATAAAAGGCAACAGTCAGAGCAAACGGACGGTCTCTGGGCCGATCTTCCAAAAATTTCTTGGCGCTGTCGTAGCCCTTATCACTGGCGGATACTCCACCGAACCAATGTCTGCCCTCAAAGATTGTAGTGACGTTAAACAGGGATGGAAGTACCCTTTTTCCATCAAAGTATTGCCACTTTCCAACATGACCCACGTAGTAACCACCAACACGTTGCAGAATGGCGGGCCATGTGTCCTTCCAATACTCAGGCAACGTAAATCTTGGACATTTCAAGCGGAAAGATCCATGTGAACTGGCTGGATTGAAATTGAATGGAATGGATTTCATTTTATTACATTTGATTCACAGAAAAAGAAGAGATCAGAAGAACCAAGACGAGAAGGCACAATCATCAAACGCAGCAACCGAACATCGACGATTCTTCTCGTCTCGTTCCGGGYCAACCATATCTTTTGACGCACCGTATTGGCCCGTGAACAAGGTCGCCCGTGACATCCAGCACACGCTCGTCGTGACTGCATTCCTCGTAAAGCGGATGCCGTCTCTCGCCAGGGCGGTCAAAAAAGGAGTTTCAACGTAGTCCCTGCCACTGACGTCTTGCATAGATTTGTGCGACATGTCGTCCGGGAAAAGTACGAGCACGTTCAATGGGCGACGGTTTGGTTTTGTATCGGCACCATCGTTCTTTGCCTCGTGATTCTCGTCGCCTGTTGTGGTTGTCTTTGCTGCTGTTGTGGTTGTTTCTGGTGGCGGTATTGTTGGTGCCAGTGTTGCTGCTGACGTGTTTCTTGCTTCTGCTGCCGCTCTGGTCATGGTAGAAGTAGTTCTTGTTGTGTCTTTCGCTCTGTCGAAGCTCGGATTGTTGTTTTGCKTTTCTCCTGCAGCCTGTCTATTTATCAGTGGCGCGGTTCCATTTCCCCCTGCTTTCCTGAGAGGAGCTTCGAACAACCGATTGTCGCTGGTGTCCTTCGCGTCGCTCTCGAAGTAAAAAGTGTTGTGMAACCGGGCCAACTGGACAAAGGAAAGGACCAAAATCGCCAGAAGCGCCAGGGCGGCACAGCGCTTTCGTAGGAGACTGTCCGATTTCGAGTTCGTTTGACTTGACTGGATGGGCATTGTGGCGCTAATGGAGTAGTATTGTGTTTGCGAGCGAGAGAGAGCATGCAGCAGTCGTTCTGGAATTTTCTTTCGAAATTTTTCACTGCAGTAAGCTTTCAATGGGCAAGTAGAGCTGCTGAAACCATATCTGTTCTGACTTCTACAACGAATCCAGGATCTCGGTTACTGTACTCGTACCGGCAGTCACAAGAGAAAGATGATAACCGATAACCCAAACAGCAAAGGCAAGATCATTGATACTCGTACAGGTGATACTGAACAACGTATGAGAAAAAATCCCCCGGTTAAATTCACATAGATTTGTGCGTTATTCTGATATTCTGATATCCCTAACCCCAGTCATGCTTTTGGTTTGTAACCATTTCAGAAAATATGGCTCATTCCAGTATTCATGGCACGAAACAGAACCCGACCAGTCGTGGCCGTGTTCAATTGGTGCCGTATGACTCTTCGTGAAAACCCTACCGTACCGTAGGGAATCCAAATCCAAGTCCAAATCTTGAATCGATTTTGAGCTTGACCGTGACACAACAAAAAAGTCCATTTTCACGATCAGAGCACGGCATTCGTCGACCCACCAAACTCACCGTTGCGATTGGGACGGGTCCCCCTCTGTATCGCAACACCACCTGCTTCGAAATGACAAAACTTGCTCCGCTTCTTCGGTTATTGTGGTTCTTGGTTCGTTGCATTCTTGTCGGTGCAGCCGCAACGGAAGGCGACGACTTTGCCATCGCCGGATACTTGCCCGATTATCGCCTCCGAACGTACCTGGATCAGACGCAGCAGTGGAACGGAAATTCTAAGAAACCGAATCCGAAACGCCGGGATTCTGGATCGTCTGTCTTTGTCACGGATCTCGTCCTCTTTTCTCTCCAGCCACACGCCAGGGGATTCATCGGGTGCTGCCTGCAGGAAGACCACTACGACTTGGTCGAGGAATTCCTCAACAGCACCCTCCCGTCCTCGCCGTTTCCGGAAGCCCCGACGACCACCG